CAACTTTCATTCAGGAATCCCCCTACTCTCATCATGGTCAGCTGGTCCTGACATTCACCCATCATTTGCAGGAGCTAGTTCTTTTCGAGTTTTTTTGAAAGGAGTTACTTACCAGAAAAAATTGGTGAAGTTGTATGTAAAGCTAGAAAATTGGATCGTTTTGGTAACGTCATCAAACTTTCCAGAAATGTATTACGAGGTTTTAAAATAACTTTAAATCAGTCAATTTAAAATGCTATGGCAAAAGGTACCAGCTAATGTCAAGAATATATCTTTTCACTATTTTGTTTTCCGTTATTTTAGTAAATATTTTAAAAAAAATTTCTTTTTAATTATTTTTAAAATATTTTATTTTAATAATTTTTCTTTTTCTCTTTTCATTAATCTTTATTATATTATTTTACATGTTTTCTCTATGATTTTAACTATAACTTAACGTAAAATTTTCTTGAGAATTATTTGGTATTATTTTTATTTATTTATTTAACCTGTAGCTAATTTTTTTTAAAATAAAGCACTGCAATGTTTTTTTTATTTAAAAAAGTAAGGGGAAAAGTTTTCTTTAACGAATTTTAGGACAAAATTGCAAATAAAAACATGAATTCTTATTTTTATATTATTACCACTATTTTTAGCATATTAATGCAATAAATTGATCGAAAAAATAATTGCCCGCTTAGCCATTAATGTTTGAGATCTGATTCAAAAACGTAATTTTTATTTGATTTATTTCAAAACTTTGCACTAATTTATTAGCATTTAGAAATGGTTCTGTTTTTAAATATGGTGACTTATGAAACAAAAAATGAAATAAAAGTTTACACTTAAAAGCAAAAGGTAAAAATATAATAAAACATCCTGCATATGATCTATTTATAATTATAATTTTCAGCTTATTATAAAAAAAATTATATATTTTAATTAATTCTTATCCTTTTCATAACTAATGGGAACATTAAAAGCATTTTACAATTTACTATAAAAATTTCCGAATCAAAATACGCTAAAAAATTAGCTGCACTCAATGTGCCACCACTTTTTACTGTTTTTACCGTAAAATTAATTCATTTTTACTGTAAAATTTTACGGGAGAATTCTGATGTGTCTTAACTTTTATATAAAAATATACTATAAAGTCACTAAATCAGTGTTATTGAATAAATATTATTGCAAAAATTATGGTATAAAATTTTACGGAAAATTTTTTTTTACCGTAAAATTGATTTTGCGAATGCTGTACTTAAGTTGCCCATACTTTTTACCGTAACTTAATCTGAATTTTCTTACATTGGATTAAAAATATATCGCAATCTTATATGACACCAATCATTAATTTTTAATTGTCGACGATAAAATATTGCCGTCAAATTTAAGTCTTACAATAACTTAAATAGTTTTGTTAGATTAATTACTTTTATTGTTACTTGAACTTGATTCAATATTTATTTGTGGAAAAATTTTCTGTTACTTCTTTTATTTTGACAGGTTATTAATTTTTAAAAAAAATTAATTAAAAATTCTGTTCTTTGATAGATTTTATCTGTTATTATTATTCACATCAAATTGATTTTAAACATATTTAATTTTTGCATGTTCAGCGTGTACTTACTTTTTTTACTTATTTATGTTCAACTACGTAATTCTTCCTTCAGCAACTGCACCCTATATATTGATCAAGATTAAACGCAGTTATCTTTATCTTTAGAATAGATAGAATTGCATAGAAAGTGATAGAATTGCATTGATAACTTTATATTACTAACAACTGAAGTTATATAAAATCTAACTCTTTGTTTTTAAGAAAGTAATATATTTTACTTCGTACTAAACGTTTTTTTTTTATTATTAAAATTTTGATTTGTAGCCCAATCTTAATCCTTAAAAATAATCTGATAAATGAAAGCATTTCACTTCCGACGAATTATTTTCCTAAGAACGAACTAAGTCAGTTATTGGGTTCTAAGGATAAATTCAAGTTAAAATCAATAAACTTCCCCCATCGCAATTCTTTAGCGTACTAATGATTCTCAACAAAATGAATTGAATAAAACGAACTGATTTGAAAAAGAAAATAATTTAACAATTTAAAACAAGAAATCCCTTCTTCGCATTAAGAAAAAATTATGTAAAAAGGGTGGGGATGGTTTTAAAAGAAGACATACAGGCACAGGGAATTCTTATAGAATAAATTGGTGCGTTGCGGAAAATTGCATAAGAAATAGGAAAAGAGGGTTCCATGAAAGTGATTGTTTTAAAAAAAATATATAGAAAAATGGCTGTAAAAACTACGCATTCTATAGAAGAAAAAATGAGACCATGTTTTCCTCGTTCCATAAAAAATTCTACCATTCATCAGTGAAAGAGGAATTACTTTTTACAATGCGTTGCTGGAGTAGCGCCATCTATTGCTTATTTTTTAGAACTATTATTTAATTTTTGATTTCTCGTTTTAGAACTAGTTCATAGTAAAATGGTGAAATATCGAATTTTTGTATGATTAATGCAAAAACAAATATCAATGTAGTAGTTATTACTGGAGGTGCAGATTATATCTGATCACGTGACCTGGGGAAATTTTTAGTCTGATTAGAAAAATTTTGCTTCAAAATTTTGTATTGTAAAAAAAAAAAAGAAAAAAAAAACGTTTTATAAAAAAAAAAAAATTTTAAAAAAATTATAAGTCAATTTTATTAGATTGAATTTTTTTAGTGGGGTCTTAAATTTAGTTTCAGAAATTTACTATTCTGTGATTTATTATTTATATTTCAGCGTACTTAAATTTTTATTATTTTTATCACGCATAAAATTTTTTTCATAAATTATGTGAAATCAAAAGAATTTTTTTTTTGCTTAATTTTTTTTAACAAATTATAAACTTCACTCTCTCAATCTATTTCCAAAAAGTTATTGTAACAAAAAAAAAAGTGTTATAATTTTAGGGGAAGTTTGAAACTAAAATGATTCTGTTCGGGGAAATATTAGACTGAAATTTTTTGCACGCCATGTTATAAGTCGCATAAACAAAAAATAAAAGAATCAGAAACAATTTTCTTAAAAATTATAAAATTTCTTCAAAAAATGAATTAATATTTAGGATACATGGAATCAAACTACTCTTTACTTAAAAAAAAAAATTTAATTCAAAAAAATTGCTTAAGATAATCAGTTTTCCGAATTTCAGTAGAGCAAAATTTTCGATATATACATGAATCTCTTATCTATAATACGTTTAAACATTTTCCTTTAGCTTTGAACATACAAGATTTTCAAACTCACGATTAAAATCGTTAATCGTAATCTAACTATCAATATTTAAAGCATCACTATCTTAAATTTATTTATTATTAATGAATAGAACTGTATTTTGATATTAATCAACCTTTTTTTAACTGAGCGTATTTATTTTTCTTGCAAGAAATGATTTCCTCAAAAACAAAAATATATTTATCGATTTTGAATTTATACAATTTATGTAATTATAATTCCATAATAATATTTTATGTATTACTCATTTTTTGGTTTTGGAATATGAATAAATTGTCTTATAAGTCTTGCAAAATTGCAACGGAAATCTGCAAATATGGCCGTCCATAAACAGTGCTGGAGTATAGAGCACTTGACTTTACTGCTTCTATATAGGGCATCGTAAACACACGAGCAGAATTCCTGTTTTACGTCCTCTTGTAAATAGGAATGGCATGATAATCGTAAGCAGTCGTAAAAGATCGGTTAACTGCACAAACCCGAGTCCGATCTCGTAATTACGATCGGAAACAACGTCAAGAATTGGCAGTAACTCTCTTCACTTTGTTTCGCCGAGTGAAGGAATCGGAAGTTGAAATAAATTATGTATATAAAAATAAATGTTTTTTTTTCCGTTTTTTAATTGTTATATTCAGGAATTAGACTGTTAAAAGTAGCATGTAAGTAAAATGTGATAAAAATGCTCTTTTTATTTTCTAGGGGATTTCAAATTTTAACATTAAAAAAAAATCTTCTTTAATAAACTTATTTATGCTCGCTATGTAATGATGCCTTCGGGGGGGGGGCTGAAATATTTTTTTAAATCATTCTTGAAAAATTTCCCGTTCATGTAAGTACATCTGAATTCGTTACTCGCTTTATAGATTTTGTTTTATTCTGTTTACTCATTGTGTTCTATTTTATTTGTTATAATTTTTGTAAAAAAATTTTTTTGAGTGCTCCTTATACTATTGTATTAATATATTTTGCTTTAGCTATATTGATACAATATCAAAAAGCACTCTTTTTTGCGAATATAATCATGTGGGCTGATGAAAAGATTATATGTTTTATTTTCCGTTTTTTTTTTTAAATTTCATCCTTTTTTTTCCAGTTGTTTGTTATTTTTTTTTTCCATTAATATTTTTCTTTTCTCCCCTTTTTTCATATGTCTATAATTTTCCTTTGTTTCATCTTCATTTTGAACTTATATATATGAAGTTCAAAATGAAGATAAAACAAAGGAAAATTACAGACATATGAAGANTTATACATAATTTTAATGAAATGTACTGTACTAAGCTAATATTTAGCATATTATTATTATAATTTAAAATTTTTTTTAAATTACCTCAATCTTCATTGTATATCTTATATTTACATTGTGATTTAATCGTTGTTTCATGAAATATTGAAAAAATAATGAATTTGTGTACAATAATCAACATATAAGTAATTTTTTTACATCAAGCTCAAACGTAGATTAATTTATTTTTTAAAAGCAAATGAATAATTGCAAGCAAAAAATACATGTTCTATTAAACTAATGAACGCATATTTCGTTTAAGAAGAGAATGCATATTCTATTAAAGTAAAAGCATGCATATGCATTCATATTATAAATTTTGCAAGCTTTATATAGTTATTGTATTTTGAATTTTTAAATACTTATTTAATACTATAATATTTATTTATGATGCATTTCTCTATATAAATTTATTGTGTTGTGTTTGTTTCATTGCTTTCTCATAATTCAGGAGCTCTCGGACACAGAACAGGTATTAAGAAATTGTATTTACCTAACAATATTGTTTCTGTACAATTACTGAATAGAAATTACTGATAATTTTTATTTCATATAAAATATATGGAAACCAACAACTAAATTTTTTAAAAAAATATTAGTAACAACAATTAAAAATTAGCTTTAAGAAATAACTACATAGATAGGAGAAAATTCTAAAACGTGTGACACTATTTAAAGCTTTTATAAATTCAGGCGTTTGTTACGTTTTGATATATCTTTTTTTTTTTTTTCATTCTACAGTGTTTTATAAAGTTTTCTTAAAAAAGCACATATAGCAAAAATATTTTTAGCAAAACTATTTTTTGCACATGTATTTTTTATCGAAACAAATGTATTTTATTTTGCACTTTTTTCATTAATTTTAATAGATCTGCAAATAAAACAACAGTCATAACAGTTATAAATATTTTATATTTAATTGTTATTTAAGTAATAAAAATTAATTTTTAGCTTTGAGAGCAAATTAAAGAAATGTTAAGCTAAAATTCAATTCAAATTTTTTTACATTTCTATTACTTGAATTTTTTTTCAAATTTAAAATAAAAGTCTGATTTTATCGCCTCTTTTTAAAAAAATATATCATGCTATGGAAGAAAAATAATAAAAATATTTTTTAGTTTTGAGAGTAAATTAAAGAAATTTTAAGCTAAAATTCAATTAAGTTTTTTTACATTTCCATTATCTGAAATTCTTTTTCAAATTTAAAATAAAAATCTAATTTTTTTCGTTTCTTTTTAATAAGCTCTTTTTAAAAATATATCACATTAGAAAAGTAAAATATACCATATCAGCTATATTTACCCTAAACATAAAATAGGAAAAGACACATTTTATTAAAATATAATAAACTTATTTTATAGTTCAGAATTCTTGTCATTGTATGATTTGTCTACGACCTTTTTTATACATTTAAACTTTCAACTTAAAAACAATATAATATTCTTTTACTATTTTATTCATAAGTGGTTTTGTTTGATAAAAAAATTCTAACTGCTTTTAAATTCTTTTATAAAAATTAAGAACTACCAAACGATAAATATAGTTTTTTCTTCATAAATTCTCTTGTTTTAGATAAAATCCAAGAAAAGAAAACAGACATTCAAGAATAAATCCAGAGCTCTGTCTTTTATTTTAAAGCTCAGCAGTTAAATATGCGCATTATCGCTCCTGAGAAAAATAACTTAAAAATAAACGTTTTTCTCTAGATATCAAAACAACGACATGAGATTTCCTTTTTTTTTTATCTGCTCGAAACACATTTTCTTTTGGAATTTTAAACTTTAACCGTCCCAAGAGGTGGGATGGACGAAGAACTAAAGCACATCGTCTGCAAAAGTGCTGAAAATGTTTGGGTGTTTTCCCTCTGTGTGGGTGTTTTTTTCAGCACATTTATTTCACACGCACCACTACCCCTTTGATTCATGGAAGGCTATCGAACATTTGTCCCCCCCACCCCCTTTACCCATTTCACACAACACGAAGATTCCTTTTAATTTGTTGTTTTTGTTTTCAGATCTTTGGCAGACGATTCTTAAAGCTTTTGTTCTTTCTTAACGTGGAAGCATGCAGTTGATATCGAACAAACAAAAGTAGAGCTAAACAAAGAACCCAGCCGACTTCTTTTCTTTTAAAGCCACTTTTTAGTTTTACTTTTACTCCTTTTCCCCATTTTTCCCCCTTCAGGCCATTATATTCGGATCATTTTCCCTATTACTGACCTTATTCCTTCCTTCAAGGTTGTTTTTTCCAGGAAATTTTTCTAACTCTACGAATGGTTTTTCACTTTTTGGGTATTGTCGACTTGGGAGCAGTAAGGCTACGGAAATTGCCTTGATCCTATCCAGTTTACCATTTTTGTTAGTTTATTTTTTTTTAAATAAATAACAAAAACCTTGATCTTGGAAACAGTCAGCTTTTCTGAAGTTCGTTGAGTTTTTTTTCTTGAAATTTCTTTTGGTGTATAGTAACGGGAAATGAAAAGCTCCTACAACAAATCATGAGCCTTCTAATGTTTTTAGAAACTCCTATTTATCGACAAGTATTTTTTTTTTTACTGGTAACAACAGAACGAAGCTACTAACTTTAAAAGTTAACGATCATGGCGTAAATGGCTAACTAGTTTAGAATATATTTTCAGAAATAAATCGTACTTTGATTTTAGTTTGTTCTCTCATTTCCTTTCCTAACGTGAAAATATATTTTCAAAGCCTAAAATTTACCATAAAATTTTAATAAAGAAATTAAAATAGTACACGAGGTGATTCAGCATTGTGGTCATTTTACTATTGCTTCAAGTTGGCTAAGTTGGTCACCAAATCAATGATTGTGCCCCATTTGACTGCATTTTTTTTGACAAAAATTACTAGAAAACGAAAAATTAACATAAAATAACGTAGATTGTAATGAGCATGAACAGCCAGTTGATAAAGAGGAGGCGCTCCTAGCGGTGTATAATGACATTTCTGACCAGGGGTTGTTAAGCTGCTCTCAAACTTTAGGATGTTCCCAATCTATGACCATCAACCAAAGTTAATTCTTTACTCTTAAAAAAGTATTCTAAAAATTCTGAATTTTTTCTGACCTTATACAATTATTTTTCTTTAGTTCAAAGACTTCTGTTTTTAATTTCCTGGATTTTATTTTAAAAAAAGTTAATTTATGAATAGTTTTTGTTAATTAAATTTAATGAGCTCGATAAATTTTGATATCAGTAAAACGCGAGCACCACTATTTATTGAGTATTGATTTGTTAGTACGCGCATTTTTATTTTTGGTTAAATAACCGTATTTTTACGTACATATTTATGTGTATTTTCCAACTTTAGGCAGAGTCAATAAATTCTATTTACTTAGGATAAATTTTATTATTTTGCATCTTATATTTAAGAAAAATCCACAAAATTATAAACTAAGTTTTTTATTATCAATGCGTAAATTTATACCACATTTATTATTTATACCTATTTTTATATTATATCCTGATTTGATCATACTATTAATATTTCATAATGTTGCAATTACATGGTTTATATAAATTTCAGTATTATTGCAATTCTTAGATTATTAATATTCTTATAAATACTGCCTTTTATCTTGCAGCAGCAGTTCTTGTATCTTATTCATATTTGTATCTAGTAAACTTTATATTAGTTTCTGTTGTATTATGTATCTTTATTCTAAATATACCCATCGATGCATTATTATTCTAAGATTATTTCTTTCTTACATAGACGGGGATTTATACGTAGCGACTGTAGCTCAATTTTCTGGAGCGGATCCATTGATCTACAGGGAACCTCTAAGGACCGAACAATTCAACTTCGAGCATTTAAATGGTGAGTATTTGTAGTTAACTTTAACCGTCACCTTTAGCACTGTTTTTCGAAGTTCTGTCGCCAAATAAAATAAAAAAAGCCATAATTGAAGTGCCTTACACTTGAAGCAATGCGATGAATTTTAACTGTATATATTATCTTACCGTGAAGAATTATCTGAGCTTTAGAACGGATAAATAACTTAAATATTTTAAAAGTTATTAAACTTTTTGAAAAATCGCCCAATTTGGCGACATTTTGCAACTTAGATGAAAAATCGCTGCCTTATTTTCAGTTTTTGCAATTTTTTATAAGCCCAGGTAATGCAGCATTGGAGTAAGTTTTTAAATATTAAAAAATTAGACCACAAACGCTTTTTATTTTCGCGAAACTGCGGCTTTTCTCCATATTAACTTTTTGCGCCATTTTCAAAATTAGCAAAGACAGCGCTGGATTTAGATAGACTGAACTTGACCCGACAGTCGTGAGTAATAGTTGCAAACTCGCAACAGTAATAAAAATAGCATATTATTATTCTCAAAAAAGCATAAGTATATATTACAACGGAGCCTTTATATTTTATTAGCTTACTAAATTGTAAGTGTTAGAATTGTAAAGTGTTGGGTAGTAAGACTTATCTAGATGCCTCGCATACAACCCAATTATTTATTCGAAGTTCTGTATTTCAATTTCTTCACATAACTTCTATATACAATGAATCCATTCGTTTATAATAGATACACATAAATGATATAAAATCTTCACGCCAAAGCCACAATTAAAAGAAAAATTCATATTAAAAAAAAAACGGATTTAAGGTACGTGAAATCTCACATTCTCACTATCAGTCCCTTTATTCTCTCTCTCTCAAGAAAAACGTCCATCCTCCAACTGAATCCGTTTAACACCGGTTCTACACCTGCTTGTTCTTCATGAGGGACTCAGGACGTCAGGGGGACATTAATTTTGGGGTGAGCTAGTCATGATGTTAAAGAACATAATATATATGTCGTTGGCTAATTGAAAAAATTTGTTTCTTTGAAAACAACTGACGTCATTTGCAGCAAGACAATTGTTGACGTGTGCCTGTTTAGGCAGTGCGATTGTTCTTGTTTTCCAGTGGCGCCATCTATGGCCAAGAATTTGACTTCTGCCACACCATACGTCATACCCGTGTATACGGCGGACCCCTTCATACATCCATTCATTCATCCACAGATCGTAGTTTTGACCTGAATCCGAGAACGATCGATCTCCAATCCAGTACCCCCAGAGGTATTGATTTGTTATGGGAACATGGAGAACTTTTGCAACTCGACAGATTGAGCGTGCATCAGTCACTTTACTACACGGGGAGTCTTCGGCCGTGGGGTTCGAACCCACGAACTCTCGGACATGGGCCCAGCACCGTACCGACCAGACTATCCTGGCCCAACAAGCCCATTATTAGGTTTGAAAAGAGTCAGTTTTTAAGATTAGGGGGGCATAAGAAAGCCGTGGTGGCTTAGGGGATAGAGAATTCGCCTTCCAATAAAGTGAACCCAGATTCGAATCCTAACGATGACTGGTCGACACGAATTCCGCACTCGGATCGCACCGACAACTGTACTTGCGTAAAAATATCCTCAGTGGTAGACGAACCATGGGTTAGAGCCCCCTTGCCGTCAGGCTAACCATGGGAGGTTTTCCTCTCTATGTAACGCAAATGCGGGTTAGTTCCATCAAAATGCCCTTTACGAAGGCGAATTTCTCCCTATACTTGATCCAGGAGTTCCCTTGCCTTCTGGATTTTGTTCAAAATTGCAAGGCTACGGAGTTAAACATTGGAAGTCGTAAACTCAAAATTGGGCCGACTGCTCTGCGGCGGTTATAAAATAAAATTAGCGTATGACATCATATATCAGCCACCATCACTCTTTACATACAGTACAAAAACAACATATTTCCAAAAATATTATTATATTAATTATATTGTTTATTTTAAATATGGAAATGTTTAATTATAGTGGAATATTTTTTTACTAGAACATCATTAAAAATTGTTTAAACTATTTTTATCGAACTAAATATAATTCGGCATGTAAAATCAAGCTTAAGTTATGTCCATTTAATGATACAAAGCAAGCTTATTATAAAGTCAAATCATGTCCATTCTCATAGTTTATTAGGCATTATTTAACATGCGACTTATTCAAATAGCAAACCTCTTTCTAATATAAATATTTTTTACATCTTAAATTTAGTCTGGCACATAAGATAAATCATATCAATTTACAAGAATAGTCCACTGTTTACCTTAAGATGCATCAAAATTGTATTTCTGTTCCTAATAAAATTTGATTTTACATAGTAAATAGGCTTAGTATAGGGAAATTTATATTCTTATGAATGGTTAGACAAATTTCACGAATAGCTAGTCATAATTGAACATAAGATCCATCCGAAAAGCAAATCTATTCCTAAACAAAATATTGCTTTATTTAGGCTTATCTAAAGAAAACTAATAAAAGTTCAGTTTATATTTGTTATAGTTTAAACACGTGATCTCCTCAAATAAATATTCCTAACTAGAATTCGATTTTATTTCTTAAATTCTGACTTACTGTAAATATAACTAATAAAAAATCCTTTACATTTGTTACAATTTGTTCGAATAGCATATATATTCCTAAATAGAATTTCGACTTGCACCCTTTGATCCATAATGGGAAAAGATCAATATTTTGAGGGTGTCGGGGTGGGTTGAAATAATCGAAGCGTTTCCTAATCAACAGCTGTTAATTATTAGACGGTGGCAAGTGGGGTGGGGGGCTCACTCACAAGAATGAGCCTAGTTTTAAGGTTATTAATCACGTGACCATCTGCATATGATTAACGGCACTCCTTTATTGGCTGTTACCAACGCCTCCAAAAGTGTCAATGGCGCCCTTTTGTTTCCAAATTTTTCCAATAAAGTTTCTAACCGTTTCATGTAAATTGTTAACGATTGTGATAAAAGGTCATGAAAAACATTTGCACGTAACAATTTGCATTTTTATCACATTCAAATGATTTTGCTGCCGTTTTAAATAAAAAATAACAATAATAATAGTTTTCTTTTATCTTATTCATGAAGAAGAAAAAAACAGTTATTATAAAAGAACTAAAATAAAAACAATCAATACTATGTGCAGATTTTTTTTAAAAAAAAACAGAACCAATAGTTAATTGTACATTTCAAAATGGAAACCTTAGAACTTTTGCATGAAACTTAATGCATCATCAATACTATTTATAGAGTTTTTTTTAAACAATACTTATGTGTATATTTTTAAAATTATTTTCGAAATTAAAAACTTTACACAGAGAAAAAATTCTGGTAAAATTACCGTACTGTATGATAATAATAATTCCGGGAAAAAAAACTATCCTGACTAATGAAACCAAAAATATGGTATTTAATCCATTCATTTAGTTATATTTACATTTATATGGTATCAGTTTACCTGAAATTCTGGTTTTCAAAATTAAATTCTCATCATCACATATTTATTAAAAAATACAAAACTGGAAAAAAATCTGACCGAGAACTCCCCTCGCTATGAAGTCTAAGGTCGTGTGCTTCTATGTACACAACAAATGGTGCTTTTCAAAGAGTGGAGCTTCTTTCTCCCCTGACTCCCTTTCTATCGCCAACACGTGCCAAACCCTGTCTTAAATAATGACCCAACACCCCTATTTGAAATGGTTAAACCTCGTAGCCATAGTCACCGCAACTACTCCAGGCGAATGGCTGAGATAGTTCTTTACATAGACAAACTATATAACGTCCTGTTCTCGCAACAGTTCAGTTGTGTACGAAGGGGGCATGGAATATAAGGTTTCAGAATTTCGTGACCAATAGCATGATTGTACCAATGTCGATAGAATAGTACAAAAAACCCCTTTAATTTCCCAGATAAGCTGATACCCATCGATCTGAAGCTTGGGGGGGGGGCACCATTGAGGATTGAACACAAGCCTTTTTGAGGACATTATTTTAAAAGAAACTACTAATTATTGAAATAGCCAGTTGTGGCACATATCACCTACAACTTGATTTAAATAATTCTGTTCAACTTTATACTACTAGGTTATGGGTTAAAAGCTCAATTTTTGTATAAAAACCAATGCTCTTGAGGCATGGAAAAATTGTATAGTGAGGTTTATCTCCAATTAATGAAATCAATAATGGAGTGGATTTACCGAAATAGCATTATCTCCGAATTTTAAATCTGCTGCTCTGGGTTTTAATGTGTTTAATAGTAAGCGGTTCTTTATAGCTGGAAAACTTAGGTGTCGGCTCGCTAAACAAGAAAAGCTTATAGACTATTCGAACATGGAAAAAAGAATTAATACAATTGTTCGGCTTTTACGCTACATAAACTTTGTTTTCTTCCAACAATTGCACTAACAGAACGAGAAACTTCGCATAGAAATAGATTAAAAAAAATGTTTTCACGACAGTAACAGTAAAATAATCAACATTTTATCTTTTAATCCTTTTTCTTCTTCATTGGCAAACATTAGTTTATTTTTTTTAAATATTTCAAAAAGTTTAAATAACTAATTTTTTTTTTAAATATTACAAAAGTTACATGGATATAACAAACAAAAAGACTTAAAGCTGATCATTTTAGTCGAATATATAATAAAAGGCTATATGATCATGTGACTTTTTTAATAAAATTGAGCTTGTTGTATTTATTGTTTAATTAATTCTGAGCCCGAGGTTTTAAACATTGTTGTAAAAATTAACCGCTTAGTTCCCGTTGACGCCAACTATTCGAGTTTTATAGTTGCAATTCCTGGAATTTATTAGGTATTAAATCTTCGAAATCTGCCGAAATAATAGTGGTCCCGATAATGAAATATCACTGAAAATTCATTGTATGCAAGCTTTGGTTCCAGTAATCCTTCCCCGTAACGTCGAACATTTCCTTCTCTTCTGCGCGTTCTAAACGAGTGTCCCAACTGTTGCCATCTCGCGTCATAAAGTTATTGGGGAAACTTTTAAATACCTTCCAGCTGTTGCCATTCGCCGTGAGGGTAATGTTGCGGATTATTGCTAAGAGTTTTGGTGATAGCGCCCCCTATCTATCTCTTGCATAATAAACAGGTCGTTAATATAGATGAGTCTGAAATTTTTCCAACTTTTTGTTCTTTCTTTTTTAGCTGTAGGTTCTTTTTTAACTCTTATACTCTCTAACTGTATTTAGCGCAGGGGTCACACTGCCTTATGCATGCTGTTAAATAGGTTTAGCTGCGATCATTGACATATGTTAAAGTTAAAGTTGCTAATTCTTTTGTTGTTACAAATAATTATGTATTCAAAAATTCCTTTTTTTTTCTATCATCAAAATGGCAACAACCAATTAACTGACGAAGTTTCCAACATGAAATTCATTATGACCTTTTATTCGAAACAGATGTAGCCTAAATAAATTCATGATTCAAATTTTAATACCTTTAGACTGATACTTCTTTGTGTATTAGTTGCATATATTTTAGTTCCAGCCTCATTTTGCAAAAAAGAAACGAAACTTTTTTTCTAATCCCCGTCAACTATGATTTGTTATAGATATTAAAAGAACTATTGGATTATAAAACACAAAATTTCAAACACTGTTTAGTTATGTTTGATAAAATCTTTTAAAGCTACCATTTTTTTCTATAAACAGATATTCTTTTACACTTTTTTGTTTATTTTTAACTATCAAGTATATACAATTTTTTTCAAGTGTCTCTATGTTTTCATGATATGAATCTGTTATAAAGCTATTTATTATTGCATGGTTAAACAGAACAATGTTGATACAAATTACTCATTAAATAATAAATGTTGACGTTGTCAATATTAGAAGGAAATTTTTTTAGCAAGGTTGCAGTAGCCTTGTTATAAAATTGTGTAATTTGTGAAATCAAAATAATGTATTAGTGTAAAATATATTTGAGGACTTGATTGTGAAAGACTGTTTGGCAAAAAAACAGTTCACTCTTACACTATGTGACTTTATTCTATAAAAAAATGTGAGGAGGATCCTCTGTGACTTTTTCATTGTGTATTTTTCAAAGTTTCTTTTTGATCTTGATGGCAGGGTAGCCTTCTATTACCTTTGATAGGAAAGGTATATTTGTTTCTGTGAATTTGAAGAGTAAACCCTCTAAAATGTATCGCCCGTGTCATATTTTTATTCACACTTGTTTTTTATTAAAATCTCTTATACGAACAAACTATATTAAGAATAATGAAAAGAAATATCTAAATTGATATATCAAAAAGCATTTGTGTATTAATTATAAACACTAACACTTCTCATATTTATTCTTAAATGGTTTAAAAGGATTAAGGTTACACGGAAAGCATATAATTGTGTATTGATTTCAACGTAGGATTAAATATAAGACAAGCAATTTGAAAGAAGTTAAAATGTTTAAATCAAATTATATTTTACTTTAGATGCTAAAAAAAGTAAATTCGTCTTCTTTGATACTCGAAATCACTTTAGGAATATTCAAGTATTTAGTAGAATTTAAAAAAAAAGCAAATAAATAAACCATTATATCGAGTTACATGCATACAATTAAAAATGATAAGAAAAAAACGTTAAACTCATCATCTAAGTAGTAGTTAAACTTATTCCCGCAGCGTGGCACTGTACACATTTGGTTGAAAAGTGTTCTCAGTTTGTTGCGTTTTGAAATAAAATACGTCGCCTTATGACATTCACTTTATATACTTTACTGATCTTTAATCATTGTACTCGTTTACATGTATGTACTATACTGAAACTAACAAAATCATTTTATCTTTTTTTCTAGCTCCCAGTTTTGTAAACTCCATCCATCACGGGGATTACGTGTACTTCTTCTTTAGGGAAACGGCCGTTGAATACATTAATTGCGGAAAGGTACGTTCTTCTTAGTTTATATCTATGCAATAAGTTTTGCAATTTTTAATGCTATTTGACCTCACTCTTTGAGCCTCTTGAAATGCTGATTATGAATCAAAGCAATTCACTTGGATTTTGGTTTTAATTACAAGCGATGGTTTTTATGACAATCTGTTGGCTAATTGGATTATACTGACGAAAGTGAATTTTGTATAAATCTGTGAACTTCCTAAATTAAAGTACAATAATTCCAAACATCGTTGTTGCGATATTAGCATGTAGGCAACTATGGAAAATGCCAAACAGACCTCTGACCGCTGCCATACAATCCTTTAGCAAAAGTGATTTTTGTTAAGTTCCAAGATTTGAAATACGTTCCGTCAAAAAGAAATTGAAAGTTCAGAAATGGAGCATTTATTTTTGTGATCGATAAATTTCTCTGAAGTAATATCATCTCAATCTATTGACTGATGGTTTTAAATTAATAAGAAACCTAACCGTTTTTCTCAGCGCGAAAGATGGATTCTCATTGGCGACAAAACTTATTGTGAAATGTGTTTCTTATTACAAAACTCATATCAGCAGTCTGTTTTGGCGAAGAAACATATGGACTTTGGCCGTATTGTATCATTAATCACTGACAAAATGAATATTGCCCACTTCATGATTAATCGAGCAGATAATTTGAAATACCTGTCTTTTGGGAACACAGATGATGGAATAAGCAATAAACTGTGAACCTTTCCCTGCCACCATTTATCAAACATTTTCTAACTTTTGTTCTTTGGGCCAAATGACTAATGAGATATATAATTCTTTCTCTTGTTCCCAAAATGATAGGGACTTTTTTAAAGAAAAAAAATTAAATGAAAATTACTGGTAGAAAATTTGTATCACCAACTCTGACGAGACGGCTGGGATTGTTCCCAAGCCTCTCTGAAGCAGCTAATTTGTTGGGCTGCTTGGAAGATTTCTGCTGCTACAAAAATCTCATTAATCTGTGCGAGACAAAGCTCATATTTCATTTCGTATTGTCACACGGGTGGGATGCTTTTAACGTTGTTGTAATGTTTAATATACGTTGTTTTCTCCTTTAAAGAAAACTATCTCTTTTGAATTATGATTCCAATATCTTGAATGTCATAAATTTCACGATGGCTCTTACGGAAAAGGGTTTTACTGTAGATGATTGCTGACATTGGGAAATAATATGTATTCTTCGTATGGAATAAGTAGTTTTGTGATAAGTGAAGCTTTAAATTAATCTACTTAACTGTTAAAATTTGTTAACTACTTTATTCAAGTTGTCACTTTGAAACTCAACTGTTAGTTTTGTTGCGAAATCAGCATAATTCCATTTCATTACCCACGAACATCGTTTTTTCTATTATAAATTTTTAGATAATTATTTTTTTTTCTCAAGTGTTAGTTTTGTTACGAAATCAGCATAATTCCATTTCATTACCCGTGAACATCGTTTTTTTTTCATTATAAATTTTTATATAATTATTTTTTTTCTCAAGTGTTAGTTTTGTTCCGAAATCAGCATAATTCCATTTCATTACCCATGAACATCGTTTTTTTTTATTGTAAATTTTTAGATAATTATTTTTTTCTCAACTGTTAAGTTTTGTTGCGAAATCAGCATAATTTCATTTCATTACCCATGAACATCGTTTTTTTNCGAGCATCGTTTTTTTTGTTAATTATAAATTTTTAGATAATTATTTTTTTTTTCTCAAGTGTTAGTTTTGATGCGAAATTAGCATAATTCCATTTCATTACCCACGAGCATCGTTTTTTTTTTTAATTATAAATTTTTAGATAATTATTTTTTTTTCTCAAGTGTTAGTTTTGTTTCGAAATCAGCATAATTTCATTTCATTACCCATGAACATCGTTTTTTTTTTATTATAAATTTTTAGATAATTATTTTTTTTCTTATCACTTTCATTGGTCTTTTTTTTTTATTTAATATTATACAGTATACTCTCGATATATCGAAAACCTTGTTATATCAACAAAATACTTTTTCCTTTGGAATTATACATCCACCTAATGTTAATTTGAATTCCTATGTCGAAGGGTTTCTTCATAAAACATTGCTATGACGTATTTTTTTGAAATAGAAAATGATTTTTTTTCAAAAAAAATCACAATGTAAGTTCATTGTAAACCAGATCTTTTCTATTTAATACATTATTGTTCTTGTCTACATGTATATTTATTAGTAGTTCATGTTTTCTTATTTTCATGACTCTACTTTTTAGAGTAATATTTTAGAATATATTTTTATACTTTTTAGAACATATTTAGTTCTGATTTTGTTCTCAGAAAACTCGCTATTTCGAAATTCTTTTATCTTCCCTTCAAATTTGAAATATCGAAAGTATACTGTATTTAAATAAGAAGTAATCGAAACATCTTATTTGTGTTACAGTGCCTTTTTGAACTAAACTGGATTGAACACTTTATTTTCCTTCAATTACTTTATATGCATATTTATAGCAAAAGACTTAATGTTTAATTTAAAAAAGATTTATGAAGTTATCTTAGAAAAAATCGGTACCATTCTTTTCGGAATTTGGTCTCTCGACTTCAAGATTTACAAAAAATTCGTTCTGGAAAACAAAACTTAAATTTTATTTTCAAGCGGGAATTTATTATTTTTTTCATTTAAAAATAATAATAGACGACGTACTTATGAGGATTTTATACCTTCCATTTAAGATTTGATGATGATCTGATGGATTTTATACGTTCTCTGTATAAAAACTGCTAAAGAGGGTACTCTGATAATGATTTCATGCATTCTGTTTAAAATCAGTTATAGACGACACTCTGGTGATGATTTTATACACTCTGTTGAAAAACTGTTAAAGATGTCACTTTGGTGATTTTACACGTTCCATTTAAAAACAGTTAAAGATGATACTCTGATGATGATTTTACACGTTCCATTTAAAAACAGTTATAGACGACACTCTGATGAAGATTTTATACATTCTATTTAAAAAACTGTTAAAGATAAGCTCTCTGGTAATGATTTTATAGGTTTCATTTAAAAACTGTTAAAGATAACACTCTGATGATGATATTATAATTGCTATTTTCAACAGGTTAAAATTTTATATATATATTATATTCCGTTGACCATCTTCAAGATTGGATTAAAAGTTTTAATTTGCATTGAAGGAGCACAAACAAATATTTTACTGAATATATTTTGTTGGTTGGCAGATAAAAGCTTACACTGAGCAAAATATATTCTTGAAACATGCAAATATAACAGTTACCTTAATTTTGTAATTTTAATGCAAGAATTTTCATGTAAGTTACCGTTCAACGTTAAAAAAAAAAAATTTTAAACAATTTTTTTTAAAAGTTCTAAAAAGTTACCATTATATAATTTAGTGACAGACTAATTATTTTATATGCTTTATGTATGTTGCACGGTATAATTCAAAAACAGCATTTTTATGTCTACATAGTCTATATTTTTCACTATCCAACCATGTGCAATAGATATATTTTGGCTTAAGTTTCTCAATAAAATTTTTCGTCTGGAATGTTTCAGAATGTCTTAGGAAAAAGCCTTCCTTTTATCTATTCTAATATTTTTCGAACTATCTCTAAATTTAAAATATCAGTTTTCAATAGATCAGCATTTTCCTTGGCGAGATAAAAATTCAAAGTGTAGACTTATGCTTACGTCGACTATTTATAGCCGTTCGTCCGGGTGTAAAGAAGCTGAATTCTTATCAGCCACGCTTCCATAGACCCATAGACATTTTATATCGTTTGTAAGCCGTTCTTTTTACCTCCTACGATCCCATATTTTCCAGGAAAAAGTAAAAAAAAAAAAAAAAATTCCGGATGCTGAGAGATCAAACAGAATAGGGGACTGAAGAAATCGGTTCGCGCGGTGAAAATATTTTCCACAACATTTGCTAGAAGGCGTTGAGCGAAAGCTCATCAACAAGATGGTGAGTAATGAAGGATGAGACCCCCTTTTGTATAGAATGATGGAACGAATTGAAAGGGGGGGTTGAAATAATTCTAGAAGCGTCACGACCATGCTTTTTAATCTTCATAAAGAATAACTTATGTTTGCCGAAGTGTGTGCAATAGCGTATGAAAATGATATAACAACATCGAATCGATGTTCAAATGGTATTTTGTTTTCATCAGCGAAATATCGAAGTTTGTTTTCGTATGTGATATAAAATATTAAATGAATACAATATTGTAGAAAATAGGCGCTAAAAGTTTTTCAAATTTTTCATCGTTTTTTGACAAAATTATTTCTGGGGAATGCTCTCAGCGAACATTTCGCCTTCCAGACTTGAGGATGCAAATTTCGTAGAAAAAAATGTGGTTAAATTTATCAGAATAATAAATTTCATCGCGTTTCTGGAACTATGGGAGCACCGCCAAAGAACGGTAATTTTTACCAAAACGCTTTGGTAATGATTTTGGTAAAATTTACAATAAAATATTGTTTTATAAAATGTGTCAAAATTTGTTAAATGTGGAAAATTTTCTTAATTTTATTATGGAGCTGACATTAAAACCGTTTAAAAGGTTAAATTAACTTTCAAGTTTTTTAATTTTTACTAAATGTGTGGTAGTAAGAACTATAATTTTGAAAACTAGATTTTCCTGTTAGCCTCTACCAAATGTAAGGAAACTGTTACCATACAAATGGTTTGAATACTGTTATTTTGTTTTTTTTTTACGCGAAATACTGTTCTTTTTAAACCGAAATGTATTATAATTGGTTCTAGATTCTTTCCTTTTAGGCATGTTTTCAAACCATTTATAAAATATTATGTGGAGTTGCATTCGTTCCTAGTATATTAATGTAATTTCAATGTCTAATTTACATTAAAACAAACAAAAACATATTTCATAAGTAAGTGGTTATAGCCTGCAAACTCAATACATAGTATCACTTTAGAAACTAAAAACTTAAAAATAAGCCTTTTTTGAGAGGGGAGGACGGGGAAAGTTAAAAATAGAAGAAAAAGAACAAAAAGAGAATAAAAATCGACAGCAATGTGAAAAATTGGCTGTATAAAACTAGATCTAAATATGATTTATTCTTATAAAAGTGCCACTTTTACGTTTTTCATCCTATTTTACAAGTTGATTAAAAAACTTATTTTTTATCCAAAAAATTTTCCAGACGTAGATTTATGAAAGGAAAAGTTAAATTCGCAAGGAATCCATGGTGATGATAAAAGACTTCCAAAACCATATTTCATCAAAGATTGAAAAATTCGATACGACGTTCGGCTGTAAGTCCACAATCGCGCCTTTTTGCGAGGAAACAAAGATCCTCAGACTGTGACGTCAAGAATTGATGAAGATTAATCGCTTTCTTTCTATCGATATCGGAGATGTCGACACGAACAAAGAAAAAAGTAAGAAACAATCGTTTGTGTTAAAAGAGAAGTCATGTCTAGTATTTTTGGCTGAGAAAACAACTATGAAATACCGATAGAGCAAGGAGAGAGAGAAGAAAAAAACATTCATTGAGATCTAAGTACTCTTCGATTAAATTTGTAGATATCTGATCTCTTTAAAGAATTCTTATACATTGTGTGATCTTTATACCTTTCATAGTTATACACTGTTGAAAGAAAATTGCTTGAACGAAAATGGTTAAACAACGATTTATTTAATTGCTTCATTAGGTGGTTATTTTATCATATTCAAACGAAACAGTTAAATAACCACAAATAGGATGGTATTCAAATCCTTAACTGCGAGAAAAACCGCTAATTAACTGCTTTCCACCTAATATGGTTAAACAACCATAATTTTATCGCACCAACTGAGCCCACCTAGTGAAGCCATTTAGTTCCTTGCAGCTGTGAGAAAAACCGCTTATTGACTGCTTTCACATAATCCGGTTAAACAACCATAATTTTATCGCACCAACTGAGCCCACCTAATGAAGCCATTTAGTTCCTTGCAGCTGTGAGAAAAACCACTTATTGACTGCTTTCACATAATCCGGTTAAACAACCAGAATTTTATCGCACCCAACTGGGTCCACATAATGAAGCCATTTAATTCCTTGCAGCTGTGAGAAAAACCGATTCTTGACTGCTTTCACATAATCCGGTTGAACAACCAGAATTTTATCGCACCAACTGGGTCCAACTAATGAAGCCATTTAATTCTTTGCAGCTGTGAGAAAAACCGCTTATTGACTGCTTTCACATAATCCGGTTAAACAACCATAATTTTATCGCACCAACTGAGCCCACCTAATGAAGCCATTTAGTTCCTTGCAGCTGTGAGAAAAACCGATTATTGACTGCTTTCACATAATACGGTTGAACAACCAGAATTTTATCGCACCAACTGGGTCCACATAATGAAGCCATTTAGTTCCTTGCAGCTGTGAGAAAAACCGATTATTGACTGCTTTCACATAATCCGGTTGAACAACCAGAATTTTATCGCACCAACTGGGTCCACCTAAGGAAGCTGTTTAGTTCCTTGCAACTGTGAGAAAAACCGCTTATTCATGAATAGGAAATTGAATTCATGGATATGAAATAAATTTTTTATTTGGTTCAGTGTAGCGCTGAAAAATATATACTGATAACTAACTGATAAAAACTGATTTTCTGTAAGTTGAAAGTATTCATTGTATAGAGTGAGTAAAGTAGTATCTATAGGTCATTAAGTGAGTGTAACTAATAACAAGTTTCAAACAAACAGTAGCAAGAGTTCAGTAAATCCCCGATGTATATTTTTCTATTGTTACGATTACGAGACATTGTATGAACAGTCTTGATATTCCAGGAACTTTTATTATTTGAATAAGTATTTTAACTTAATCCTACTTTTACCGTTTATGAGGTTTTCTGTATTTTATAAATTCTAAAGGTTATGATCCATAAATCGATTTTCAAAAATTAATATCACGATATAGTTAAAAGGCAAATATGGGTTTATCTTCATATTTTTTATGTTTTCAGCTTTTTTTTTTAATGGAATTGCCAATTGAATCGTAAATAGCACAAATCAAATTATAGATTCAAACTGTGTTTTGACTGTATTCGTATACTTACAAATTTATAAAATTATTAGTATACAAGCAGCATATTTGCAGTAGCTGAAACGAATTCAAATTGTTAATAGCACAAATCATTTGTTGATTCTTTTGTGACCTACAAGTCTTAAAAAAAAGCAGATGAAGGCGTGTTTTTGAAGCTTCGATGCAAAAAGGAATCGGCAGTAGTAACCTGGAAGTCGTATTGCAAATTCTATCCTCTAGTGCTACCAGAGCTTAGCTTCACACTGTTGACCATCCTTAAATGGTCATTCTTGTATTCACCCCATTTTTTAAATGTTACTGTAAGTTATGTTCATTCAAGTGAATATGAACCAAATTAAAATGTTAATCACATTGTAAACAGTAGTTTTACTTGGAGTTTTAACAATGTGCATTTTTGTTGTTGCCAGGCCGTGTATTCTAGGGTGGCGAGAGTATGCACCAAAGATAAGGGAGGTCCTCACAAGTTCCGGAATCGTTGGACTTCCTTCCTGAAAGCTCGTCTCAACTGCTCATTACCCGGCGAATTTCCCTTCTACTTCAATGAGATTCGTAAGTATTACACATCTTATTTGTCTCATTGATTAGTTAGGCTCATAAATTAGTTTGTTCGAAAATTTGTATCGCCCTTTTATCTGATAAAAGTGCTGTTGATTGAGAAATTTCTAAAAACCCAACTTGTAAAAATGGGACGATTTTAGAATTTGAAGTTTATAAGCTATCCAAAAACTCCTTCTTTTCTTTGAACAATCACAAGTTAAGGAAAAGATATTAGTTCCAATTAATTAACTTGTTGTTGTCCACTATATTGAGTGTTTTGTAGAGATGGTCCCTAATATACATTTTTTAAATTCTTGTCAAAAATTGAGACAAAACCAAATGAGACTGAACCAAACGGACGATTTTAAAATCATGCCATTACGTAATTCTTTTTCAATCTGTGAGTGCATCATTGTTACATTTAAATTGTGGTGATCGTAAATTATTTTCATAATATTATTTGACATAATAATAATGATAAATAAAAATTGTTTCCAACATTGTTATAAAAAATGCAATGTAAATATATAAATATTACACGAAGAAAAAGTATGTTTCTATACTTCCGGATTATGGAAAAAGTTTCCTTGTTTTTGGTTCTAAGAGAATGCTAAAAAGCTCAGTAATTTTGGCTATAGCACTTTTGTAATAATTTTGGTAAAACTAAAATATGGGTTTATAATATGTGGTAAAATTTGGAAATTTAACGTAATACCTTAGAGCATGACATAAAAACTATTTATTTGGTTAAATTTACTTTTAAGTTTTGTATTTTTTACTAAATACGTAGGAATAAGAATTATAGTTTTTCGAAGCATAATTTCAGGTAAACCGTTTATAATATTAGCGAAAAAATTACGAAATTAATGGTTTAAATACCTTATATTTTGGTTTGATTATACAGAATTATATATTTTTTTTACCAAAAATGCTATTATCTTACACTACAGTAATATTACCAGATTTTTTTTCTCCGTGTAATTGTACTTCAAATATTTTAATAATCATATTCAAACATTTGAAGTACAATAATGCTTAACCGAAATATTTAATTTATGAACCACAATGTTTAGATAAAACCATTTCTGTTCACCAAGAAGACAAAAAAAAATTCCCATCAAGAAGCTGTTGTTAAAAATAATGACTTGCAAAGCTAACTTTAAAAAAAAAAAACCTTTTTAATGATCCTTCTATTAAATTACTTTCTCTTGTTAATTCCTATTATGTCTTCATTTTGTCTGAATTACTACTGCATCGATTCTTCCAAAAGATGCGTTACAAAGAGTATTTAAGGCGAGTTTTATGGTTTGGCGGTAGTGAAAAGAAGTATTTTGTTGCGGGCTAATCTTCATTAAAGACAGTTTAGTTAGGCCGATCTTTAATGGGAGGTAGTATTTTACGTGTTTAATGGTATCCAATAAGTAACCTGCTTTTCGATCCATACCCTCCATCCATTTTCTTTAAAGGGTGGATTATGGTGCTGGCTGGACTATTTGTTTCTTGGAGACTTAATCCTAGGTCCAAGAGGCCTAGGATTAATACCGTAGACTTAAAGTAGATAATAAAGATTGATTCTTTGAGTTACTTCCAACTCATTTGGACTGTATTCGCCTTCTTAATATTGTTTAAAAAATGGAATCTGAAAAAGTTTCAACAGCTGTATAGGATAGATAATACTTTTTTTATGTGTTATCGTTGGCGTAAAAGAATGGTATTTTCGCCAATGAAACATTTATTGTACTTCAAGGAAAGAATGTAAGTTCACTTTTTTCATATTTTTATTATTCCTTTAGCATGAAGCATATTGATGGGAATCAGTTGTACTTATTAATAATGGAATTTTTTAACCAAGAGAGGCATGTTGAGCTCATTTAGTGAGAAAACAAGTTGAGTAGTGATGTAAACATGTTGTAGAAGAAGAATCTGTTTAGATACATTGTACCTGCTCTGCGTACATAAGAATGCCATCATTAAAAGATTAAAAAGCTGTTTGAAAACATAATTTTCTTATTAGTGATAGAAATTTTTAACTGAGAGAGGCATGTTGAGTAGTGATGTAAACATATAGTAGAAGAAGAATGTGTTTAGATACATTGTACCAGCTCTGCATTGATAAGAATGCCATTATTAGAAGATTAGAAAGCTATTTGAAAACATAATTTTCTTATTAGTGATAGAAATTTTTAACTGAGAGAGGCATGTTGAGCTCTTTTAGTGAGAAAACATGTTGAGTAGTGACGTAAACATGTAGTGGAAGAAAAACGTGGTTAGATACATTGAACCAGCTCTGCATTGATAAGAATACTTAATTAATCGAGTGAAAGTACTTGTTTGTACTACAATAATGAGTTTGAAATTAACAGCTTTGTAATGCATAAAAACTTCAGAGATATTTCTGAAATTTTTTTTCTTAAACTTGAAAAAGTAAATGTTGCAATTACTGTTGAGTAAGCTTTTCTAATATAAATCGAGTGATATTGAGATGTTAAGCTATTTTAACGCAAAAACGGAGTTGATTTAGGGAAAGAACATATCTAGTAATATTTCGAAGAGTTATAAATTATTAAAAAGTAATTCAAAATAAGCACTCTAAGAAATAATTACTGCTTTTTTAAAACTCTTAGTTAAGAACTTTTATAAAACAGTACTTATGATAAGTTGTTTTTGATTCTTCATTTTCAAGTTATTTCTTAATAATGGATTTAAAAAGTTAAACTTATTCATTCGCTTATTACTCTGCAAAGATCTATTCTTAGAAAAAGACGCCACAAAAAAACGACTGTCACTTCAAACTTTTTGAGGAATTTCGTCAAATAAGCACTTCGCATACATGAGCAGTCATTTCAATGTCTCTCTAAGAATATTCCAGAACATATTTATAACACGAACAGTATGTGCAAAAGCATGATCTTCTTTATGGCCATCACACTAGGAAATTCATTGTCAAAATGACAAAGAGAGATAAAAAAAAGTGATTCCTCCTTTCTTTTTCGAATTCAATATCGATTCTTATTTAACATCAAAGGTGGAATAGCTGGCTTCTTTACCAATGCAAAGGCCATGTTTATGGCCCAATGCTTTCACTAGATCTTTAATTCTTCTTCTTAGGAGCGCTCGACCGAGCGTAAACAGAATCCTTCTGGATTGGAATTTGTCTTTCTTCTCTTTTTCACCTCACAATATCCCCGGATAAGTCCCCTTTTCTTTTCTTTGACTTCCTCTTATGTCCTTTGTCTGGTTCTTTTGTTCTTTCTCAGAAGACGTCTCTTCCCTCTTTTACCTGATCTTCATTGTCTTTGTCCCATCTTAACGACTCTTTTCTTGCTGGGGACATCTTTTCCACATTCCCGCCAAGAAAAACGAAGCCATTACCCACTTCTCGTCGCCAAACATTAGCTGCCCACTAGACATCTACTAACTCGAGATGCTAGCCAAGTATGGTTTTTTTTTTTTTTCTGCTTGTGTAGTTATTCTGTTAAGCCTTTTTTAATTTTCTTGCGACTTCCTTGAAATTTTAGCTTAGTATTCTCTTAACTATTCTTATAAACTATTTTTCATCTGATTTATGGTTCTGTTAGTTATAAATACCGATTTGTGGCCATTTTGTCTGGTTTATTTTTCTTAAACAATGGTTAAAACTTAATTAATGAAGCTTTTGTTTTTCATATACTCTTTGAGGGGAAGGAAAGTTTTGAAAATAAAGCAACAGAATTAACTAAGTCAATTTAGTTTATCTATAATTTATTTTGTTGAATTTTTACATTTTTACCACAAAATATGTTCGCGTTGAAAACAACTGCCTTTCAAAGAGTTCAAGAGTTTACTATAGAAGTTTCTAAACAATGAATGTATAAATTCACAAGGAAGTCATTGAGGTAAAATATTATTTTTTTTAACTTTAATAAATAAGAAATGTGAACAAGTTATGAAATTTAAGGTGTATAGAAATTAAAGAATAAAGTTAAAGTTAGATTTAGAATAAGCTCATTGAAGAAAAAAAATGCATTGTTTTCGAAAGGAGCAATTAGTATTTGAAGTGACCTCTTGGTCAACAAGAAATATTCATTCTCTAAAAGACACAATTAGCTCTTTGAAGAGGTTTTAGGTTTTAAAGCTGAAAATTGTGTTAAAAAGATTTACGTTAAGTTGTATAAATATATTAACTATATATTTTTTGACTATATATTTATATAATACTCTATATATAGAGAGACATGAAACAAACCTATAATAATCAAATGAAGCATTTGCCACTATATTTCGTCACTCCAGTAAAAAGAAAATCAAGTTTTTTGGAATAGGGAAAGCTGGTTTATTGCCACTGTACGATGAAAGTTAAAAATAATGTGATCCGCTAAAAAGTTTAAGGGTACTAAATTTAGTTAAGCTTCTGCTATAAAAGAAAGAATAACAAGAAACTGAAAATATTGCATTTAATATTATTAAAAGTTCATAGACAATTAAATAACGGCAAAAATTTCTGTGTAGTTACCTTTTATCGTAAAGTAGCAGAAAATATCGAATAAAGTTAAGGCTTGTGTATTGAATGTTTACAACAAACTACATATCGGTTAAAAGTGCAGAAAATAAACTAAATAATAAGGAAAAAGGTATAGGGCAGTTAAACGAAAGACAAAATTAGTACATAACGAAAACGGATATCAAGTCTTTTAAGTAATATAAAGCTAAATTTTAATGTCTCTTTAAATTTGTTCTCTGTAAAATTGATTTAAAATAGTCAAAATTACTTAAAATTGGTTTGCAATTGCCTAATTGCCTATACTTGGTTTAATACAGCCTAAGTTGTCTGAAATTGGCTTAAACTGCCTAATATTGTTCTAGATGATTGGAAAGTTATTCAATCTTGTTTAATTTTGATAAACCCGTTGATTATAGAAGCATTTTTCTGAATAAAACATAACTTCCAGACTTTTTTAATTTTATTTCTTTGAGAGTCACTTTGCGCTTTTAATTTTTTTTTAAAAACGTATATTTTCTTTGCATTTGATAACTTTACACGAACGTTAAGCCAAGAACTAAAACTTAGGACAGTTATCACTCATTTTAAGAACTGCTGCAAAGAAATAGATTGACACTTGATTGACCCTTGCTGCAAAGAAATAGAATTTTTTTACTCTATTCTTAAATCTGCCAAATTACTTCTTTTTTACTTTTGCAAAACCTTATTAAAAATGATTCCCTCAAAAAAGTGCTTCATCGGCAACCACGCATTCTACCCTTTCTTCTTTTCGAACTTTACCCTCTTCCACCCCTTTCTCCCGACCACCCTCGTAACAAAAGGTGTTAAGTTCGAAAATGCATCGTTGTCATTTTTTTTCTCTCATCCAAAGTATGGAGTGTCAGGCGGAAAATATCGAAACCGTTAGAATGGAAGGAAGAAAAAGAAGAAGAAAAAAAAATCTAATAATAAATCACAGGATAGAAAGATTTTTTAAAAACGGCATTTTAAAATGCCTTCACAAAATAGAATCACTATATAAGGGGATAGGAACTTTTCCCTTTTCTTGAAATGGAAAAAAGAAAGAAAGAAAATCAGCTGATTTAAGAAAGCGAGGCAGCTTTTACTGCAACTCGTATTAGTTCAGGTCTACGCGAATGAAGTAGGGAATCGTTTGAGATTTCTAGGGAAAGTTATTCCCTTTCCCCCCCCCTCCGTTTCTAAATTCGGTGAGCGAACCTTGTTCCATACATAATTTAGGCTTTGGAAGAAACTGAATACGAATCTTTGCATTAGAAACCTTGCTTGTTAAGGTAGTTAAACTTTTTTGCATCACTTCTCTTATGGAAAAGATGCATGGGAGATGAGCCATTCCTGCGGGGAAGGGCATTCCTATGGAATAGAATTTAGATGCACATCTAATGCCGTTTCCGGAACTTTATTGGAACTTTTCTTTTCATACATCATATTTAGAATGCTTCTACTTTTTTTGGTGGAGAAAACTTTAAAAAAAATCAAGAATAAAATAACAAACCTATAATATAGATAAAACTCTACTTTTTTTTTTCCTAGCGAAGATTTAGTTTCAAAGCTGTAATCTTAGTTCAGATGCTATAAAGGAACTTAAATAGTTTCTTTGTAATGAAATTATATAAATTGTGCAACATTTTTATAATACCTGCTACAATCATATTTGTATTATGCTATATTTCTACTACGGTAAACAATCTTACCATTTTGTTAAAATCACGTCTTTCGTATTTTTGAAGTTTTCAGTAACTTTTAGGCTAAATTTAAATTTATTATGAAATTATTTTAATCGTGAAACGTTAAGTTATAACGATTAACATAAAGGTCAATTATACTCTAAAAAATGGATTTTATGCTCAATTTATAATGGAAAATTGAATTATTAACATTATTATTATTATTATTAACTTTGAATCGGTAAATGTTAAATTATTATGGTAAAAATAATTTTCAATTATACTTTGACCTTTTCTTCTTCTTTTATGACGCTACAGCCCACAATGGGATTTAGCTTTCAGATCCAAACCTTTCTGCTCTTAGCCTTGGAGTAATTTTGTTACATCAAGCCATCACTTTTTGAATAGATCATGTAAGGTTTAAATAAGACGGGTTTTTTTTTTGTTGTTGCTATTTTTATTATTCGAATAGAAAACTTTGAAAAAAAGGCAATGTGATAAAAATTTCTGACATGATCTCAACTTGTATAGAGTATAAAAAAAATGTTCGTAAGTATTATATTATATATTAATATTGATATTTCAATAAAAAAAAAAACAACTTTTATACAATTTTGCAAACATATTTAAACGATATACGAACCATTTATATAACTTGTTGAAACTCGAACATTAAATTTAGTGAAATTTAAATTGCCAAGATCTCATCTGGAATTCTGCTTGAATTATCGTCTGCCCAGGAAATCGTTAAACAATTCATTCTAATAACTATTTTCATTACGGTTATAAACTACCGCCAACTGTAAATCAAGACAGTCGAACTTGCGCTTAAGAGTGCACATGACATTGAATGAGCATTAAGAAGGCCCCATTGTAATTTGGGACTCTTTATCAAAACGGTAGTTAGCGAAACTATTGTCTTGGATATCGTATTGAATAATGAGAAAAGGCGTGATTTCATGGATCGTCTGCATCGAAAACGATAATTTAGAAGGTTTTTAACCAGACGATTTCTCTTATCTTGAATGAAAGTAGTTTTCGAACGAAGTTAAAAACTAGTTTTAAAACTGTAATTTAATATTTATAATTATGTACTTAAATTTAAATTTTTTTTGTGTGAAATCTAATAAGAATATTTTAATTAAAATTTAATTTTCGTCTGAAATATTTAAAAGCATTTTACATTAATGGATGGTTAAAAATTTATAGTAATGTCTGCTGCTTGAAAATACATTATAATTAATCGAATTATTCGAATGCATTATAATTAATGTACTCGAATTTACTTAATTAAGTTTTGGCAGCAATGTAGAACGCAATTAACGCATAAAAAACATTATATATNTAACATGGATGCTCTGCTGGAGACATCCACCATGGGGTTTTTGCTGTAGCCGTTTTGTCTTGTTTTTGTTATTGTTGCTGTTAGCTTACTTTCCTTGACTAGTGTGTGTGTGTGCATATATATATATATATATATATATATGTGTGTGTGTGTGTGTGTGTGTGTATAAAGCCGATATCGGCAACTAGAACTTTGAATAGTACATTTTGTTGCACTGAAACCATAAAAGTAGTTATCGTTTTACAACCTTCTGTTTACGAGTTTTTCCCGCGGAATGCAAATGGGACGATTTTAAAACGAAATGTGCATAAAATTCTCGTAAAATACTGTCTGGTACCCACGGAATAGAGAATAATCAATGTGGAACAACATATTTGCAATATCGCAGAAGAAACATCTGTAACAATTGCAAAATGTATCGGTTTTAATCTAGATGCTCAAAAGGGCGTTAGGGTGAAAATAAACAAATAAAAATAACGGGATGTGTTGCCAAACCCATCATTAATATCTCGTTCTTTTACACTATTTTTATTTTTTTATTTTTTTCAGAATCCACTAGCCACATTGTAGATGGACTGTACGGCGGGAAACCAGCACAACTGATATACGCTGTCTTTACCACTCCAACGTAAGTGATTTTCAGATCTCTGGAGCTTCTATTTTTTTCCCCCTCATCATTTCATTTTCCTCATTTTTCTTTTTATTTTCCCTGTTTTCCTTCTTATTTTCCCCTTCCCTTCTCTACCTCATATCTTTTTATTTTATTTTCGGATCTGGACGGTTATTATTTTAGTTCCCGTTGCCCATTATTTTTCTCCCGGAAAACTTCGGATGTAAACCCTCTTCCTCTTCTCCCCTCTTATTTTTTCCCTTTTTTTATATATATATATATATATATTTTTGTAGTTTTTCCCTAAGAAAACAAAAACAAAACAACAAGGTGCAGTTGAGAAAATTTTAGGGTGATGCATTATATTTAAGTAGATATTATTATTGTTTTTATTTTCAGCCACTTCTTCTTTTTAGTTTGGGAAAAGTTTCTTTTATTATTTTTTTTTCTCTTCTAGATTTAACCCTAAATTGCAGCATCAATCTTTAGTTTTTCCCCCAAGTTCGAAAGATTACTTCTTATATACTAAGAGTCAACACTCTTTTTCTATTTACTTGTTTCTAGAAAATTTCGTGTGGCTTAGCAAGCGCGCCAATTTTCGATTCAATTAAACCCTGAAAGGCGGGAAATTTTTTTTAATAGCTCTTTCACACTGACATCCGACAACGTCTTTTATAAAATGCTTCCAATTTATGAACGGAGTTCGAAAGTAATAATAAAAATTTAAGTTATCCACCGTTAATTCTCGAACAAGGAGCATTTCATTTTAACAAATTATGTAACTAAATGAGTGTTTGAGTTGAGCTAAGAAAAAAAAAAACTTTTCGCGTTCAAATAATCAGTTTTCGAGGAAGATTAGCCCCGTTATATTTACCGCCTCTCTTTGGCTTAATAATACAGAAGAAAAAGCGCTGACGGGGTATTCTGCTTAGAATAATTAGATCATTTCTAAAGTTAATAAAAATTCTTTCCTTTCATTTTCAAGGTTTTGATGTGCAAGAATTTAATATCGTTTCCCTTAAAAGGCAAAGTGGCTATTTTTTAAAATGTCGCGTGCTTGCATCTTATTTGTTTTTTAGGGAAGTAAATCGCTCTTAAATCGTTGAAAAAATTGGTGTCTTCATAATTAGAGTGCACAAGGATTCAACACTTAACTAAGTTTTTTGTTGTTCAGCACAACCTAGCAGCATATTGATATATTGAATGCATTTTTTTAAAAGTATAATTATTAAGTTTGTAATAAATGAATAATATTATAATTTTTGAAAAGTTTTTTTATAATAATAATAAAGATAATAACCATTATATAAATAATAATAACCATTATCTTTGAAATTGTTTATGATAGAATAATTAATCATTTATATTAAAATTTTGGAGTTTATATCTCATTTTGTAATAAGATATAATGCATTATTAAGTCTTTCAGTTTATAATAAAACTATTGTTTGTGACAACTAGAATTGGCGTCTTAATTAATTGAATGTTTTAAAGGATTTGAATAATGGATCAATGGATTAAATTGAAGTTAATTTAATCTCGTTTTATATAATCAGGGCTGCCACTCCACAGGGAGAACAGAGACAACCTGGAAAATACAGGGAATTTAAAAATCGCCTAAAATAACAGGGCAAATGCAGGGAATTTTGATTTTTCCTTTACTAACTGGGAAAAGACAGTGAATTTTGTTTATTATTTTTGTCTTTTAAAAAATAGTGACCACTCTAAGCGTAATCTATGGGAAATTTAACCATGATATTTCAGCTATACTTAACTATTTCAATTACTATAGCATTATTTAAGTATGTTCAGCTATTTTTCCAGCAATTAAAACTAATAAATATAGTAAGCCCAATATAGTAATTGTTGTTTCCTCTTAATATATTGTGTATAATATGTACAGGGAAAACACAAGAAATTTTTTTTTCCAGATATGAGTGACAACCCTGGTAATGCTACCTTCATTTGTCCATAATGCTATAGCGTATATTTCTTAACATAAACCAATCTTTGCACACCCATATAAAAATGAGTTTTTTTTTTTTTTTTTTTTTTTTTTTTTTTTTTTTTTTTTTTGCACGAAATTTTTTTCGAAACGTTAAACTACGTTTATATAAGTCGAAATAAAGAGAACTAAACATTTTCTGTTACATTCAAATATACTATCGTAATAATTTAAATTCATAGTATCGAATCAAAAAAATGAATCTATAAAACTAAAAAAAATATCTATAATCCGGAGCAACTTCAAGTGATTATTATTATTTGGTTAACAGTAAAATTATCTCTTGATTTTAAATTCAGAATTTGCAATTATTTCAGTTTGTAGACCTTTACCTCAATAGGTCTAAAATACGCAGTTCGTGAAGAACTGGAATATTATTCATTTTCAAACTTCACCATTGAAAGTGCGTTAAAATAATTCATCTAGTATTTCTTTTACTTTTAATAATAAAAACTTGTTTTAAAGTTTAAGCCAAAATTAGTGTAAATTTCATTAATTGAACTAAATATTAAAATTTAAAAATTATCTTATTAGAAATTTATAAATATTTTAAAGCATTAAAAGTTAAAAAAGCATTATATCGGAAATATGGATTAAATAAAAAGAGGCATTTTTTACGTATCTCCAATTAGAAACTCTTAAAACTATTTTTTGTTTTACAAAAATTTTAAATTCCCTTACTACATAGATAAAAAGGTAATATTTTACTCGTCTCCTAGTAAAAGCTAAGTTAAGGGTCAGTTCCGCGACATACAGCTTTCGGATCCCGCTGCAAATTTGTTCAATTTTTGATAAGTTTATCGTTAAACTTCCAATGGTTTTTAAGAGTTAAACAGTTTTGTTTCTCAATTGATTTTTTTTTAATTTTCGAGTGACTTCATTATTCTTTATTTATTAATAATTATTACATAAATATTTTAAATTTCTCTATCAAAAAATTAAATTGCCATAAAAAAGTTAAAGTTGTTAAGAATAATAAAACAATACAATTCACGATTTTTACAAACTTAGGGAGTATTCCTACTGATGGCGGTTTGATCGTTCTACTTAGAATGCACCAATCAGGTTCTTAATTTTTAAATGTATATTTTAGAATAACTTTTAGTTCGATTAAAAAGAGACAAAAAATAGCGTCAATGTGTCGCTGGAAATTATTTTGCAATAAAATGAAAAGTTTGTTTTTATAGCAATTGAATTTTACTAAAAACTGTTCATTTTTTCGAACCTCATCGTCAAACAGCTTGGAGCTGGCACCAAAATCTCTGTGTCGCGGAACTAACTCAAATTCTATAGACAGACTGTATTGTAGAGAAATTAAAAAAGCTTTATCTTGCAGAAAATGAATAAAAATATGAATATTTTAAGCATCTCCTGTTAAGCACTTTTTACAAATGAACAATTATATGCAGCTTATTTTTTTTTTAAGTTAATCACTAAAACATTTTATTTTGTAATTTATTATGTTTAATACAATCTGTTGTCCTTTATCAGTAATCATGAATCTGTGTTGCATTATAGTTCAAAAATTCGTTTATATCTCCGAGCAAATTACTTTAAATGGTTAACTTTAACAATTTCACACTACAAATGATAATATGGAATGTAGTTTTATCTTTAGAATATTTCATCAGCTATTATATTGTTATCTCCTATTTAATAACTATTCTTCTTAGTCAACTGTCAAAATAAGACCCAAAAATAGCCATTTAAAAGCATCGTTCAAAAATAAAAATTCTTGATAACATTAATCTCTTAGGACAGGGATAAAAAAGGGACTTTTTTTACCCATCTCCAATTAGAAACTTTTAAATTAAAGTTTTTAAATCAGTTAGAATTCCCAGTTACGTTTTCTTTTCTATTATACTTTTCAGATAAGCACAGAAGTTAATTTAAACTGCACTGCGCTAATTAAAACCATGCAAATTAAGGCGATACCTACCCCGCTAATTAATTTAGTGTCATAGAAAACTACTTTTTTTTTATTAAACCATTATAATTTTTTCCGTTGTCTCAACTAAATTCACTGTAACCATGTTCGGGTCACTGCCAACGTATTTTGCTGAGTTTTTTTGTTCTACATTTTTTTCTTTTTTGCTTTTGCGGTTGACAGTGGGTTAAATAGCCTTTAAAAACATGCAAAAAAATGTTTTCTTTTTGAAACGTTAAAACAAAAGCAATTGTTCGCTCTACTGAATAGCTTTTCTGATATTTTTTATCTCTTAACTCATCTATTTGTAACGAGATTAATTAAAAAAAATATTTTCAGTTTTTTTTATTATTATAATTATGCTTGTTTTATACACGTTTAGGGTTATTTTACTTTTTTTCATTTTATCAGTATTGCATTTGTTAACTACAAAATATTAATCATTTGTGAAAAATTATTCTATATTTTGAGCTGTTTCAGTAGCCATAATACCGTAATTTAATATAGTAAATAACATTAATTGTGCTATTAGAATCATGTTTTTCTTTTAAGTTGTACGCTGTTACTTCAATTTTTTTTGTGGTTACAGATTTTACTTATAAACAAATAAAGCACTTGCCAATTTGCTGTACCTAATAAAAAAAATTGTTATTTTATTATTTTGTTTCAATATTTAACCCTTTGGCGCAGACCGGACACCGTTGTCCATTTTATGTATTTTTTACAAGTAAAAATACATAAAATTACAAGTAAAAATATTTTTTTGTATTTTTAATTACAAAAATAACAGTCTAATAGTTATCAAAAAATAATATGAATATATTATCGCAATTATATATGTTCTATAATATAAAATAAAATAAAAAGTAGTTTGAAATTTTCTTTCATTCATATTCAGGAATTTATCAATAATTTATTTTGTAAATTAAAGCGATTTCAATGATGAATTACTGTTTCTCTTAGATCTTAAAATAAGTGCAAGCTTTAAAAAAAATTTATTAGTAGGAAATTATGTTTGGAAACTTTTACCTTTAATGCAAAAAGGGACACTGGTGTCCGATGCTGTATGTTTTTTACTAATGCTAAATATCTTTTTTACTTATTTTGACCTAAATTAATGCAAAATAATGAAAAAAAAGTATAAAAAATATGTTTAAGGGAAATACTGTGTCTAAGGGTTAAAGTAGTAAAGTATATGAATAGTAAAAATATGTAGCTTTGTAAATATGTATGTAATTTATGTATGTTAGTAGTGCTCTAGTAAAGATATACATTACATAACCTTTGTTCTACAAATCACTATTATTTAAATCAGAGTGATTAATTTTGATTAGTGATACGTGTGGTTTGCCTCCCAATGAGGTTAGCCAGGTTCGAATCCCAGTGGTGGCTGGTTGATACGAATTATGCTCCTGGCTCGCGGCGACCACAATGCTGACGCAAAATATCCTCAGTGGTAGGTGGATCATGGCTTAGAAACCTTTTACCACTGGAGATTCTCGGTTTTCCTCTCCATGTAACGCAAATGCGGGTTAGTTCCATTAGAAAAGTCCTCTACGAAGGCTAGTTTGTGTCAGTGTTTGATCCAGGAGATCCCTTGTCTTTTGGGTTGGGTTCAAAATTACAAAAGCTGCGGAGCATATATAGTCGTAAACTCAAAATTTGGTCGGCTGTTCAACGACAGTTATAAAATAAAAATATATGCGTGTGGAAATTTCTTCCATTATTTTGATTAGTGTTGCATGTATGTGTAGAAATTATTTCCGTTATTTTGATCTTTCAACATTTCTGTTCGTCCAAATTATTAGATGTGTTTTTTAATTTAAAATGTATTAATTAATCTAAATAAGATATAGTATTCATTATAAAAGAAATGCGTTATTTAATATGATTTTATGAAAATAAAATTAACTAATCATTTAAAAATACTTGTTTTTTTATTTTTAAAGAAAACTAAATATTTCTGGAGTTAAATATTGTATAAATGACTTTAAATAATTTGAATTAAAAAAAAAACTTTCGATACTCTATTATGCAATTTCAGAAAATTTTTTGTAAAGGTTAAATTATTATTTTATTGAAATTGATCTAGATGGGGGAAAACATAAAGGAAAGATTCAAAATATAAACTTAAAAAAAATATATACTTTATTAGAACTTCATATTAAAACTCTGCAATGCGTCTCACTAAAAATAAATATTGCATTCGATTTTAAATTATATTCTTCTAATATTTGCCGACGTAACAATCAAAAATCAAATCTAGTATTTAAAAAAAACTTAATGTGTTTTTAACGATGAAATGTTTATTTTGCTCTTTTACTTTTTCACACAAAAGCAACCTCAAAATTACTGCTTTTTTTACGCTTTTTTCAAAAAAAAATTAATAGAAGAAAAACAAATTCAGCAAAACCCACAAAAGTATTCTTAAGTAAATGTTTTGAAATGGTGTAGCTATCCCGAAATTAAAACCTTTCATAATTTTTCTTAAATTCAATTTTTTTTCATTCTTCCACATCGACTTCCACAACGGGAAAAAAAAGGCTCTTGTTCGATTTCATTTCGACGGAATATTTGGATTGTGAATATATTATCTCATTAATTTCGAACATTTTTTTTTATTAACTTCCCACCCTATGTGGGGAAAAAAAGAAACCTTCTCTATATATTTATACAGGGGATTGGAATAATTTCCCAGTTTTTTTTTTTCCTCCACCGGATTAAAATTTTATTACCTTCTATTATCATTTCTTTCTTTTCTTATCACCCCAACGTGTGTTATTCTAATTCATTTTCTTATTCTTATCTTTTTGATACATCTTTCTAAACTCCCAAAGGCTTTATCAGTATCTTCTTTTTTGTTTCTCCTCGTCATTTCATTACAATTTTTTTTTACGTCGTTAAGTAGGAAAAAACCCACGGATATAATTCATTAATAACATGAAAATTTCTTCGCCAAATTTTTTGAGAAGAACTGGGGTGTAGGGGGGTAGAGCCAGAATTGGTTGTTGTTTTTCCATTATAAAAGCGGAGGGTCACACATTAATAGTTTCCTTAGCCAATAATTAACTGGCGCTGTCAACGCATCTACGCGAGCACTGCTAATGGAAGTTGAAGTTATTGATGGTACCTTGCCTCACAATTCATCCTGAAGTCTTTTGCTACCTCTTTTAGCGGGCTACATTTTTTTTCCACCCCTCTTAATACGATCATATATAACTTCTTTCGCTTTTTGTTCCTTATTTCATAATTATTTCGATCTATATTTACTTCCAAGTACTTCAGGCAAGAAAATGGCAGCAAAAATTCTTTTATTTTTATTCGGATCGTTTGGGAAACGATACATAATTAACTTCTTGATAATTAATACTTATTTTGATAATTAGCGATCTTTTTAACTAGGTTTTTTTTCATAAAGTGAATATAAAGCTGATGTATTTTATTATTGCTTAAAGAGGCAAATTAATGAGTTTGAAGTGATTTATCTTACTTAGTCAGATAAAACAAACTAAATGAGAAAATACGATCTCGTGTCAGGCAATTGAATTGAATGCTAGAGTTCATGTTATAATTAGTTGAATCCTCCAATTATTTTTCATAAACAAATTTAAATTGTAATGAAACATTTAACTCAATATCAAACTCTTCTGTCTATAATATAAACATTTTTAAACCTTAGATATTTTCGAATATGTTACGTCATTATCATACGAACATTAATCATACTATTTTAAAAGTCTTACCTATACCAACTTGATTTTAAGATCTTCTTTTACCTAATTCGGTAGTACAGGTTTCACAATCTCGAAAAATCGCAGTGATCTTTATTTTTATTTCATTATTTCGCTCATTCGTTCACCTTTAGTTGTTTCTTTAAAAACTTAGTTATTTACAGCATTTAATTTTGATTTACATCATTTAAATTTATAACAATATAATCCCTGTCGATTATTATGGAGGTATGTAATAAAATCTGCAATTCTAACTACCTAATTTATCATACAATTTTTAAGAAAGAAAAGGACTAGTAGTATATGGCAACCAAATGTAGAATTATAATGCTTATTTCTAACTACATTATATATTTTTAGTGTAGTATATCTTAATCTTCTTCTTTTGGGACATTACAACCCGCTGTAGGCCTTAGCTTGCCTGCTCAATGTTATTACAGCATTTCTGTAGTTAACAAGATATTTTCAATTCGAAATTTTCATCATGGTTAGATCCTTTGTTGCGTTATCTATTTCTGGGGCTTCCTCTGGGTTTCGTAGTTCTTTCAAAGTTTTGTAAAACCCTTATTTTCGTTCATTCCTTCTATATGCCGTAGACGTGACAATTGGTTCAATTTAACTATTTCTTAATACAGAATCATAATAATATTATTTACATGTTTTTTTTACTTACATAATTACAATGAAAAGTTTGTTTCAATGCAAACACACAGATATCCTTGTTCTTTTTTTAAATCATTGTAAATTAAGATTATAAACTACCATATATAAACCTCGAAAGATAATTGAAGTCTTTCATTTTCAGAAATAGTATTAGTGGTTCAGCTGTCTGTGCTTTCCGTTTAGAAGACATTCTTAAAACTTTCGATGGTGCCTTCAAAGGACACGAAGATGTGAACTTCAACTGGCTTCCCGTCCAGAACTCTAAAGTTCCAGAGCCTAGGCCAGGACAGGTAAGCAATTAAGATATTAACTGATAATAAATGAAGTTTCCATAGTTCCTCCAAATAAAGTTTCACAACCTTACATCTGAAGTAAAAAAAATTCCAGATTTTAGGTACTACTTAGAGTTTGAACTTTAATTTTGTAAGAATAAAAAGTTTTTAAATTTTTTTTCAAGATTTAAAAAGTAACGATAACACTTAATTGTTTGGTTTCATGAAAATATGCTAACATTCTGAATTATTCTTCCATTTCTAGAATCTTAATCACGATGGAAAAATTTCGCCAGAGTGGCGATATTTTTTAAGCATTTGGCAATGTTTTTCGAAGCTCTGTCATCGAAGAAAATTAAAAAAAAAATCCACAGTTTAAGCGCCTTACTATTAAAGCAAAGCGATGGTTTTAAACTATCTATATGATCTTGTCTTTAAGAATTATATGGGCTTTAGAACAGAGAAATAAATTCAATATTTAAAAAGTTATTAAAGTTTTTTAAAAATCGCCAATTTGGCGAAATGTTTCCACCTAGAGGAACATTTTTAAAATCACTACCTTATTCTCAGTTTTTGCAAATTTTTATGAGCTTACATAATGCAGCATTGCAGGCAATTTTTAAATATTAAAAAAAATTGGACCACAGAAACTTTTTATTTTTACAAAATGTGGCTTTTTTCCATATTAACTTGACCAAGCAGTCATGAGTAATTATTGCAAATTCACAGCAGTTCTGAAAATAGCATATTATTAGCAAAAAAGAATCATTTCATATCACGGTGGAGCTTTCAAAAAACAATACTTAATCTTAATATTTTACGAACCTCTTTTGCAAAGGGAAAAAAGCTATCAAATACCTTACACTTGAGATAAAACTATAAATTTAATTTATATGTACCTTCTTTTCGAAAAGAATTATCTGGCTTTCAAGCGGAGAAAAACTGTTTTTAAAAATCTCCAATTTTGCGAAATTTTTCCATTCGGCTGAAAAATATCAAAAACCAATGAATAGTTCTCAATTTTTTCGATTTTTTTATGAGCCTATCATATAAGGCTGCGTTAGAGTAATTTTTTAAATATTAAAAAGTTAGATCATAAACGCTTCTGATTTTCATAAAACTGTGGCTTTTCTTTATGTTGACGTTTTCGCCAATTTCTGAATTATCAAAGAGGGTATTGGGTAAAGATGAGCTAAACTTCACCTAACAGTCTTGAATAACTGTTGCTAACTCACAGCAGTTACATAAATAGTATGTTAATCGCTACAAATCGCATTGCGTGTGACTACAGAGCTTTCGAAAAACAGCTTTTTTCCCAATTTAATCCTAAATCCTGAAAATTCTTTATAGCAGTATGTTATTAATAGTATAAAATTTGAGCTTACCGAGCGAATTTAAGTTCCTCAAACTGTAGCCTCTTTATTTTCTTTGGAAGAAAAACTTCAATGAGCAATTTTAAACTTCTAAATTTGTTAAAAATAAAAGGTTATCTTTAAGCACAGATGCCAACTTGCTCCAGACAGCGAATAAATATTATCGAATGGTAGTCTTTTAATGTATGATTCTTGATTTAGTAAATTCGATTTATAGTGTTTTTACTCACCACTACTTCTACATAATTTTAAAGCTTATGTGATGTGTCACTTTTTTCGGTTTAGTCATGCTGGGCCTTTTTAATAGTTGCCAAAATTAGTTGAAAATCTGCAAATTTTAGTTTGTAGTTCTCTACCCCTCTTTTTTAAATACTTTGTCAAACCCGGAGCAGTTAGCATCTCTGTTTAAGTTGTAATCACATCAGACAGAATGACTCACTATTAAAATGCTTAAAAATATTGTTTTTATAAACGTAATTAACAAAGCAACCACACAGTTGCAGTAGACAAATTTTCTAGAACTTGCAAACTTATTGTCAATTAGTTATTGCGTTAAATTTGACGATTCAAATACGGTTAAATGCATTTGCTATATGTTTATATATCAAATATATTTTAAATAATGCGCTGTTTTAACGGTTTTCATTTCTTGTTTAGTGTGTGAATGATTCCAGAACACTTCCCGAACAGACAGTTAATTTCATCAAGGAACATAATCTTATGGACCAGTCAGTTCCAGCATTTTGGGGAAAACCAATTGTTATCTACACTGGATTTAAGTAAGCTATAATTACACTTCTTAGTTTTAACTTCTTAGTTTTGCTTTATATTCAAAAAACAATTAAAGCAGTATAAATTCGTCATCTTCAGTCAAATATCTTTAATAAATTTAATCATTCTTAATGTCTACGGGATAAAAAAGAATGTAATATTATTTTATTAGATCTTTTCTTGCTTTATTTAGCCATCTGTTTCTGGAGGTTCCTCTGTATCGCGTAATTCGTTGGTTCCCAATTCAAAACTTTTGTAAAACCTTTATTTTGGTTCATTCATTATATATGGCCTAGATATACCAAGCTTCTCGATTTTAAGAATTGAATCATGTTTTTTTCTTCTTTAAATGAACATTCAATGCCACTTTTCTAATCCTCCGTTTCAAATTGCTTATTTGAATTGGTCCAAAAATTCTTTTTAACTATTTCTTAATGCAGAATCATAATGATATTATTATATATTTTTTTACTTATATAATTGCAATGAAAAGTTTGTTTCAATTCGTACACAATTATAGATTTCTTTGTTCTTTTTCGAAATCATAGTAAATTAAGATTATACAATATTTGGCCATAATATATGAGAAACTGTGCACTTATAATTCTCAGTTGAAAAAAAAATTTCATGTAAAATAAATTAAATTTGTAATATAGCACCAGTTATGCTTCCTTAAATGTATAAAATTAAAATTCTGATTCTTTTTACAGGTTCCGATACACTCACATAGCTGTCGATCCGCAAATAGAAACTTCTAATGGAGAAAAGTTTGACGTTTTGTTTATTGGTACTGGTAAGTACAAGATGCTGAATCAGTGAAATAAGTGAAGTGCTTAGATCAGAAATAATTTACGATGATTACCGCAACTAATCGAATTTTATCGGAGAATTTAATGAGTTGCCCTTAAATTACTGATTCGTTGAGATTATTCATGTAAGGTGTATAAGTACGGTCACAAAAATAAATCCTGATAATATTTATTCTAACTATCTGAATTTTACGTACTCAGAAGGAACTGAGATTTAACGATTATTCTAATCAAGTTGTGCAGTGAATAATTTAATTTATGAAACCTTACTCAAAATTTACTTACCCTAAATAAGCATTTTTTTTCCAACTGATCTGGATTTCTAGTTTTTTAAATATGTTGAATCTGGAAAATCTGACTCCAAAAGTTAGTTTTACAGTGTTTAAATAAAGGTCGTGTTTAAGCACTTAAATGGCATGTTAATAATGAATTCTACGTTTTTTTCCACCCTATCTCTGAAACTGATTTTGCCAATCAAAATAGATTTGTACCTATTTATAAAACTCATCAGAAAAGGATCCCATTCAAAAAGTAATTATTTTTTTGTTCTCAAATCGATCAAGTTCTTAGGTTTAATATAAAGCTATTACAATGTGCCATCTTCTCAGTAAAGACATTACTTTAGCTAGTAAAAACGTTAATTTGATACAGCATACTCAGTAAAGACAGTACTTTGTATTTTAACTAGTAAAGATATTAATTTCTTACTTTATTTCCAGCAAGGATGTTACTTCAGTACTATTTCTTAACACCGAAATACTTTATTTTAATTCTTAATGCATTTCCAAGTTTGTCTTTTTTTCTGTAGCATTATGTTCGCTGCATTTAACTACGAATTCAAATTAAATTCGTTTAACTGTAAACTCTTGACGTAAATATGATTTCCAATCACTTTAAGTTAGGCAAAACTAGATCCGTTCATATTGTTTGCTAACTAGTAGATTTTACGAACAATCGAATTTAAACAGTTGGCTGAAATCTTAACTGAACAATTTACTAATTGTAATTCACATTCAACTCTAGTTAACTAATCTACACGTGATTTACATAAAATTGAGTATCATCTACTATTGTTAATCAAGGAGTTTGAGATTGCTAACAACTTATTTTCCTTTTTGTTTCCATTTTGTAGATAACGGCAAGGTGATTAAGGCTCTAAATGCAGAAAGTCATAAGAGTGCCCACCAAGTTACTCCTATTATCGTGGAGGAGGTGCTGGTGTTCCCCCAAAGAGTGCCCATAACGAATCTTTTGGTATACCATACCATTAATGAAGCAAAATTATTAGTCGTCTCGCAGGACGAGATTCTTACCATGCCTCTTCATAGTTGTTCTAAACATGCGCGAACATGCAGGTGAGTTGGTAAACAATTCTAAAATATGAATTTTCGATTTTTAAAATTATCGTCTTTTTAGTTATTATTGCAGCTAAATAATTTGAAACCAGTGAAAATAAAGGGCGAAACAATCTTTTATTCTTTTCTCTTAACACGTTGACTGCCGCACGCGTTTACAGTAAAATTTTCTTCAGGCCACGAGTACCGCTATACGAAGCGTATTCTGCTAAGTACTCCCACCGATATTTTAATAATGCGAGTCTCTGGTGGTCACAAGAATAATATCTCGCTTCGTTTGTTTCCATGGTATCATGTTTGTTTATTTGTGTCCGTTGCTTCGCATCCATTTCTCATCTCGCCACTTTACACGATCAGTTTGAATCTTTGTCGAGTAAAGTGGAGTATAACTTAAAATCTTTACCCTAATTCGTTGAAATTCCGAGAAGAAAAATGGAAAACTTAATGAGTCAAATAGTGAACAAGAAAGCTTTTACAGGACTCACAATAATTTTCTTAATAAATCATTTTTGTGTGTGTGTATTACTTTTATAATAATTCATTAGTTTTGTTACTTCCTGTGAAATATCTTTTCAAATACGTACGAATATCCTTCGCAAGTAGTTAAATAAGCATCACCGCGGCTCGATCTGGAGCTTTGCTGTCACCCGAATATTTGTGACGCGGCCCGATCAGAAACTTTGCTGTCACCCGAATATAGGTGTGCGGCCGGATCAGAAACTTTGCTGTCACCCGAATATGGGTGACGCGGCCCGATCAGAAACTTTGCTGTCACCCGAATATGGGTAACGCGGCCCGATCAGAAACTTTGCTGTCACCCGAATATGGGTGAGCGTCCCGATCAGAAACTTTGCTGTCTCCCGAATATTTGTGACGCAGCGTGATCAGAAACTTTGCTGTCACCCGAATATGGGTGACGCGGCAGTCGACGTGTTAAAGGCTATTATTGTTTGAATGCTTTGTCTGTTGTCATATGTAATAGTGCTTTTTTGAGAACAATATGCTTTTTTAATAGCAGCTGTGAGTTAACAACAACAGTTATTCATGAACGTTTTGTCAAATTTAACCTATCTTTAGCCAGTGCTATGCTAATTCCGAAAATGGCACAATACATCAATATGAAAAAAAACTATAAATTTGTGAAACTAAGAAACATTTGTGTTAGATTTTTTTCAATATTTAAAAAGTTACTCAAACACTGCATTATCTAGGCTCATAAAACTTTCTTTATAATTTGAGGATTATTCATTGATTTTAATAAGTTTCCTCTAGATGTTAAAGTCTCGCTAAATTGGCAACTTTTTGAAAAAGTTTAATAACTTCTTAAAATATGTTAGCTATTTGCATGTTCTAAAGCCAAAATAATTATTTACGGCAAGGTGGTATTTTAAGTTTAAAATTATAGTTTTGTCTCTTGTGTAAGGTATTTAAACTGTGGCTTTTTATTTTGCTTGGTCTAAGAGTTATTAAAAATATGGTTAAAAGAAATACTTGGGCGTAACCTACTGTTTTTTTTTTCTAACGGCTGAAAGCTATTAAATTGACCGAGTGTTTTAAGTGCTATTATTCTGTTAAAAAAACTAACAATTTAAAATTTTGCGATAAACCACACACCATCTCTCTTTTCTTGCTTGAAAATTCCGAACACTCGTCGAAGCAAATTTTTATACGTAGCAATAAAATCGATAATTTTCTCATCTAATTCAGTTCTGGCGCCGACAACAGTTCCAACAAACTAGCAATTATTCGTCCTCATAATTAAAAACTGATTGAGGAGCGATATATTTTTAGGAAAATTCTTCTTCAAAAATTTAATCTCAACTTCTCAGCGTTCTTCATTCCTTTTACGCTATCGGCAAGTCTAATCAAAGACGAAGCAGCGTAAAGTCATCTAAATCGACTTTCTCGATTTCCTAAGCAAATTAAAAGTCAAATTCCTGATTCGTTTCCCCCATCCCCTCAGAATTATCCCTTCTATCCCTTTTCCAAACGATTTCCTAGCACAACAACAGCCAGCAGCCTCGGCGACACCCGAACAGAAAAGCGATTGTCGGAATCGGTTTCGGACAGCGGCTGAATCGATTAATGACCCGATTAATCGATGGGACACGTGGCGAAAAGAGAGGGATTTCCCCTCCCTTTTCCGAAGAGAATCGAAGCAGAAGTTTCTGGAATAGGGGGGAAAAGGGAAGAATTTTCTGCCGAGAGGGAAAATTTTCCGATAACTCTTTGGTTTTTCTCGTGATTAATTGGAAGAAGTCCGGCTGCTTTACTATTGATCCTGACACGCTACGATGCAGGCTGGATTCCATGTGGATTTGGCTGAACTTCATGAGCAAAATGTGCAAATGATTTAAAGAAAAGTTCGCACTATCTCTGGAAGTAATGTGTCAGAATCACAAATTCAAGTTAGTAATTAACATTAATTTCATTCTGTTAATTTCGACTCACAGAATCTGTCCGCCTCTAAGGCCCTTTGTCTTCATTCGGTAAATAGTGCCCATGCCCACGAGGTACCCGGACGATTATTTTCCCTTTTTCCCCCCCATTTTCAAACTAAGTTTACTACATCGTAAATATCAATATCTTATTTACCTTACAAAACCTTTATTTTTGCCAGATATTTACATTGGAAATATTTATGGTCTTAAATAAAATTTACTTACTACTACGCACTTTCGTAAGTTCAAATACTGAATTTTGTTGAACTTTATGAATTACATGATTCCGTCAAAATTTTCCCTAAAGGATATGCCTTCCCAAGCAAAATTTTAAACGTTTACGTTTAGTTAAACGTTTCAAACTCAGTCATTTTTTAAATAAATACCTGTTTCATATTTATTTATAAAATTAGGTCATCGAAGTCAAACATCATTTGTAGTGGTCAGTGAGGGGATGGGTGACCACTTTGATCAGCCTGCGAAGAGCTTGAGGGTGCATGGCCCTCATTAGCCTGTTCTACTGTAAAGGGCTCGACTTCACACGTTGGTCATTAGGCTGCCAGAGTGTGGGGGCCAGCCCCTTTGCAGTGGCTCAAAATTGTGATGGCATCTCTTGGGATCATCTTTAGAGATGTTTCCAAGAAAATCGCTAATAATCCTCTGTGCAGCTTTAGTTCGACATACATGCAGTATTATTACTACAATTAGATGAAAATGTTTTTTTTGTTGAAGTTAATTCCATAGAGTTCATCTATAGTTTTATATGGTGATATTATTCGTATACATATTATTTCCAATATAGTGTTTATACAGTATTCCCTGTTAGCTACTAATGTGAGGACCTTGTTTTAATTTAATATTTTTACTAAACAATGAAATGAGTAAATCCTTACGACTGAGGATTTTTCTTCAATTCTAACTTATTTTAAAGCTTTAATTGAAGACAATAAGTATTAAGGACTGCGGTGTGCTGCAATGTATTAAATTACGTGTATCCCGAATAATAGAACTTCAGCTTGACGTTACATAATGTATTTGTTATATTAAATAAGCAAAGACTTATGCACCATGACGAATTCATTCACTTTACTTTTCTGAATGATAAAAAATTCATTGATTATTTTCATTGGTCTCTTTTACTTATTGCTAATTTTTAGCACTGGTAACAATCTCAACATTTTTAGAATAAATGACTATCAACATTGACGAGATTTTGTAGCTAGCTAAGACCAAAGACTGAAGCGTCAAACTAATGATCAAAATTAAAATTAGAGTTGCGAAAAGTCAGTAGTAATTGCGACTAGATTGCTAACTAATGGCACTGGTAACAAGATCATTATTTTAAAAATAAATGAATATCAACATTGTCAAGATTTTGTAGCTAGATAAGACCGAAAACTTAGTCTTCAAACTAATGATCAAAAGGAAAATTAGAGTTGCTGAAAGTCAGTAGTGCTAACTACTGGATTGCTAATCAATCGCACTGGTAACAATCTCAACATTTTTTAAGATAAATGAATGTCAACATTGACGAGATATTGTAGCTAAGCAAGAACTCAAGCATCAAAATAATGATCAAAATTAAAATTAGAGTTGCGAAAAGTCAGTAGTAATTGCGACTAGATTGCTAACTAATGGCACTGGTAACAAGATCATTATTTTAAAAATAAATGATTATCAACATTGTCAAGATTTTGTAGCTAGATAAAACCAAAGACTAAGCTGTCAAACTAATGATCAATGGGAAAATTAGAGTTACTAAAAGTCAGTAGTAATAACTACTGAATTGCTAATTAATCGCACTGGCAACAATATCAACATTTTTAATTGCTGATGTCTAAATTTATCATTATTATAGTCGATTGTATGGGTCAAATGCGTGGAAACTAATAAGTTTTTTCAGAGTATAATTTTTTAGCACAAAATTTATTTTCACATTAATCATCACATAAATTACTTGCAAATTAAGCTCTCTGATTTACTGCAACTCGGTAAACACGGCTGCTCGACTGCAGGCGTTCTGATTGGCTTGGTAACTGCGTAAATGTGCCAATTCCTTTTATTGCGTATTTATTCCTACATTTATCACGGACATTCTAGATTGCAGCTATCACTGGGGGATCAACTGGGGGACATTCGGTCGCCATTCCCGAACATTTATCACCGGGAATCGCTCCCATCTCTACGTTAGGCTTCCGACCTTATCATACCCTCATTAATCCAATTAACGTAATGAGTGAATTGGGAAAATCCAATTGAGGTCATTACAGCTTGCCTTAAGACCACCGCTAATGAAGCCAAGAGGATAAGAGATACACACATGCATGTTGCGAATGTACCACACAGCTACGATCGTAGCAGAAAAAAAAGATCGCAAAAAAACTACCGTTGCCTACTGCTTTTGTTTATCGGCTTAACTGTTATTTGATCGATGGCTATAATTCCCTGGAATGATCTGGAATTCGAGATAATTTCGGAAAATGTGCAGTTTGTGAGCATCTCTTTGCGTGGTAAACATCAGGAATGTTATTTGCTTCGTAATCTGGTAAATGTGTCCCCCAGTACCAACATTTTGGTTGAAAAAAATTGAGTAAATGTTAGATAATTGCATATTTGAATGTAGCAAATTTTAATCAGTTCGAAGGTTGTTGTTATTTGATGTTGTGTTACATAAAGCGTATTGCTTTTCATGTATTTTTTTTTTAAATAAAATCTATAATTTTGAAAACAACCAGAATTTTTACTAAAACCTTTGTCATATGAATGAAAAACTATCAAATGAAAGATTTAAATATCGTATATTTTGGTTTTTTTAAATACCAGAATTATGCTGTTTTTTTTTTTTACTAGAAATATCAGTGCTATAGAGTACGATAATTTTGTCGGAACTTTTTCCTCCGGGTTATGCCTTTAATACATTTTTGTAAACAACAAGAATTTTCATTATACACCAAGAATTTTCGTTAAAACCTTTGTCATCTGAATGAAAAACTATCAAATGGTAGGTTTAAGTACCTTACAGATCTACGGTATTTAACGGATAACCGTATAAATATACGGTAGTATAATATTTTACCGTATATTATATATATATAAGGTATTTTTTTAAAAAAATAAAATCTATAATTTTCAAAACAACAAGAATTTTCGTTAAAACCTTTGTCATATGAATAGAAAACTATCAAATGGCAGATTTAAATACCCTATTTTTTAGTTTTTTAAATACCAGAATTGTGTTTTTTGTTACAAGAAATGTCACTGCTATAGAGTACGGTAATTTTACCAGTATCTATTCCTCCATGTAGATATAATAATAATGCATTTTTTTTTCAGTACATGCGTAGGTCTCCGCGATCCTTATTGTGCCTGGGACATCCATCAGAGAGTTTGCACAAGTTCTAAACAAAGGTAATTTGGCTTACTGTTACTTTCCTAAGCCGATATTTTGATTATCCATATATTTAAAAACCTTATTATAGAATTTTGATTATTTTGAAAAAGAAGTTTAATCAAAGAGTTGTTCAGTCTTTGGCTTACTATTACTTTCCTAAGCGGATATTTTGATTATAGATATATTTTAAAACCTTATTATAGAATTTTGATTATTTTGAAAAAGAAGTTTAATCAAAGACTTGTTCAGTTTTTGGCTTACTGTTACTTTCCTAAGCCGATATTTTGATTATAGATATATTTAAAAACCTTATTATAGAATTTTGATTATTTTGAAAAAGAAGTTTAATCAAAGAGTTGTTCAGTTTTTGGCTTACTGTTACTTTCCTAAGCCGATATTTTGATTATCGATGTATTTAATATCCTTATTATAGAATTTTTATTATATTTTAAAAAAAGAAGTTAATCAAAGTGTTGTTCAGTCTTTGGCTTACTGTTACTTTCCTAAGTCGATATTTTGATTATCGATGTATTTAATAATCTTATTATAGAATTTTGATTATTTTTTTCAAAAAGAAGTTTAATCAAATAGTTGTTCAGTCTTTGGCTTACTGTTACTTTCCTAAGCCGATATTTTGATTACCGATGTATTTAATAATCTTATTATAGAATTTTGATTATATATTTCAAAAAGAAGTTTAGTTTAAAGAGTTGTTCAGTCATTGACTTACAGTTACTTTCCTAAGCCGATATTTTTATTACGATATATTTTAAAACCTTATTATAGAATTTTGATAATTTTAAAAAAGAAGTTTAATCAAAGACTTGTTCAGTCTTTGGCTTACTGTTACTTTCCTAAGCCGATATTTTGATTATCGATGTATTTAATAATCTTATTATAGAACTTTGATTATATTTTTAAAAAAGAAGTTAATCAAAGTTTAATCGAGTTTTTCGTTTGAAATGCAAACAAAAAGGGAAAGGGATTTTACTGCTTTCTCTAAAAGTTAAGTGGCTTCGAAAATCAATTCAAGGTCATNTTTAATCAAAGAGTTGTTCAGTCTTTGGCTTACTGTTACTTTCCTAAGCCGATATTTTGATTATCGATGTATTTAATAATCGTATTATAGAATTTTGATTATATTTTTCAAAAAGAAGTTTAATCAAAGAGTTGTTCAGTCTTTGGCTTACTGTTACTTTCCTAAGCCGATATTTTGATTATCGATGTATTTAATAATCGTATTATAGAATTTTGATTATATTTTTAAAAAAGAAGTTAATCGAAGTTTAATCGAGTTTTTCATTTGAAATGCAAACAAAAAGGGAAAGGGATTTTACAGCTTTCTCTAAAAGTTAAGTTGCTGCTGAAAATCAATTCAAGGTCATTTCCCCCATAAAATGTGTCAACAAGTTTGAAGTGTTCTGAAATATTTTAGGAAAGAGGGAAAGTGGATCTCAAAGAAAAGTTCGTTAAATAGAAAATTTACTTCGCTATTTGGAAGTTATTTTACGAAGAAATTCCAAAATGTTCTTGTTTCCTCGAAAAAAGTTACAAAATGGAGAAATTCGCAAAGTTCGTTAATTAGAGTAATTACGTATATATTACATTTACAGAATATTCTCTTAATAGCTTATTTAGGGATTACTTCCCTAAATAAGTTCGAAGTAAAATCTAAGAAGAGTTTATACAATAGTTAAATAATTACACCGTATCGAATATCTTTCTCCTTAGGTATCTAATGGTGGTTAAAAAAATTTAAAAAAAACACTATCTTCGAGCAACAGCAACCCCAGAGAATCGAAAACTGATATCAACGAATTTCAACCAAATTCATCTTGAAATCTTTTACGAGCAATCACGATCTTCATTTTTACATCTAGTAAAGTTTTTTTCTCCCCTTCTCCATCAATGTTTTGTTTCCTAAAAACTATTATAGGTTTTAGATTTGTCTATTTAAGGAGTGCTTCGAAATATTCATCGATGAAACGTTCTTCTGTGCAATTATTGACAAAACGAGGTTTTAATTTAAGCTCATCTTCGTCCAGCAATTAATCATAGTCGATGTATATTTAATGCTGTTCTAAAATGATAAATCGTCTGCAATATTACGTTTTTCTTTTTTAATCTTAATATTTTTTAAAGGTCTTAAACATAAAAATCGACGTAGATTGTCTTGTAGGAAAATGGTTCGTAATTCTAGCCAATAATCTGATGAAAGTTCTAAAAAAAAAATTTTTCAACATTCCTTGAATTTATTGAATGAAATTGTCATTGTTAGAACTTTTCTATGAAATATTTATCAGCTATACTTATAATAAAATCGTCTGCCATATATCTGTTATATAAATAAAATATTTATATTCTTCATCAGAGTTTTCATCCTTCTTAAAAACTTAAAATAGTGGTAGTAAATTTACGTTATTACTAATAAGAATTCTTTTTTTATGGTACCGTTTTAGCAATAAAACGTCTGTAAGCTTCATAAAAAGTTTTTTATTTAAAAAAATGTAAATAAATAAGTAAAATACCTTAATTATAATCAGTAGTGAAGGTCACGATTGTATTAAAATACTGAAGCTTGTTTCGTTTCGTCACCGATTTAGAAAATTTTAATATTTGTTAGAACCGTTGAAATTCTATATCATAAAACTTAAATAATTGAACACCTAAACAGAGCAACTTAGTGATAAAATAAAGCTAATATGGAACAAAATATTAAAAAATTGAAATATGAAAGAATAAAACATTAAGCCATGAAAAGTTTACTAAATACAAGTAATGAATGTTACCTGGTTAAAAACTTCATTCGCTTAAAAATATATAATTAGGAAACAACAGTCCAAATGTTTCAAGCGTTCAAAAACTGATGCCCATTTTCAAGACTTGGCAGACGTGAATGAGAAAAAACAAAAGTTTATTGAAATATAAATCGAAAAGGTTACCAACGAAAAATGAAAAAAAAAACTAAGAAACTAAAACAGAAAAATCACAGTAGCCGAGAGAAAAAAAAATGATAATCAGTACAAAAACCACGGAGGCCGAGAAAGGCAAATCAGTATATAATGACACGCGTTATAGAGATGTGTTAAGGAACTATGTCGTTAACAAGGCAATCAGCATTCATATGAATAATCTGGTTTCTTATAATCAGAATAATCAACATTTATGTGAATAAAGTATTTAATCAAATAGTGTTTGAACGCGTGAAACATTTCGACTGTTATTTCTTAATTACACTGGTGGACAAAATTAAGAGATGGAAAACATTTTCGCACATTTATTCGCACATGCAAGATACCCGCACACCGCTCCATGTGTTTGACAATGGTTCCGTGAATGCCCAGAGGTACAGGCAGGAGGTCCTCGAACTCTATGCGTCTTTTCAGGGGCGCTGTTGGCCCTGAGTTCATTTTTATGGACGACAATGCGCGACCACATAGGGCTCTCATGATTGATGAGTATCTGGAAAGCGAGGATATTCAACGAATGGATTGGCCAGCCAAATCCCTGGCCTGAATCCTATTGAACATGCTTGGGATGCTCTTGGGAGAGCTATTGCGATGCGCTAACCTCCCCCCAGAACCATTCTGGAGTTAAAAATTGCTGTGGTGGAAGAATGGGAGGGTGTTCCACAAGTTCTCCTTAACTCCCTTATTAACAGCATGCATACTCGTTGTGCATGCTGTCTGTCTGTCAGGGGTGACCATATACCATACTAGAGGCAACACACACTGTACAAGCCTCATTTTTATTGTCATCTTTTATCCTTAAGTTCAGACTACATTGGATTTATTGGCAATAGGTCTTGCCAGTGAATGGCACTTTCATTTTTGTTTTGCATACTTTATTATCGTGGAATAAGCTATATCCATACCAAATTTCATTTATTTATATTCAGTATTTTTTGAGATATTTGGGAAAATGTCTTCCATCTCTTAATTTTGTCCACCAGTTATATTTGGCATACATATATATAGCACATATTTTGGGGCAGTGGCACTTGACCTTAAAAAACATTGAGATAGAGCATACCGGGCAAATGTATACCGGGCTCTGACACTTAACTAGACCTAGTATATATTTCGGACATTTACCAAAACGACTATGTCATTGTCAACATTAACCAGTGGAAGTCAACAACGTCCAATTTCGGTCATTCACAGTAACATATATAACCTCTGTCTAACTTGTATAGCGAAAAAATATTACTTTTTAACAAGAGATACCTAAATTTTATTCAAGGTAATTAAATGAAATCAATCGTACAAAATGCTAACATAAAGTTACATCTGTCAAAAAAACAACAATGAAAAGATACAATAAAATGCAGCAAAATATATAAACATTGTATAAAACTTTCCTCGCGAACGATTCTACCAAACTTCCAGACAGATAGGGACATATTTCATCCAAGTACAATAAAAATAGTTAATAGGGCAGAGAAGTATAGTATACAAGAAAAATTGTAGTTAAGTTAAACATCAATAAAAGTGATATCTTATTTTTGCTTTTAAGAGAATAAATTCTTAGACACAGTTATAATGTCAGTTTTGTAATGCATTCCCCATCTTATTGTCTGTCCCGAAATGATAGATTTATTTTTCTTCCAGGATTTGGAAAAATGATAAATTCGTTCAAAATGTCGCTCAAGGATGGGATACCCGTTGCCCTGAAGGTGAGTTACTCGTTGCTATGGTTACCTAGATATCTCTTCTCCCTATTTCTCCCTACTCGGACGCGTATTGATAAAATATTTTTCGATAGGGCTTTACCTTATCCAATAAAAACGAAATTTAAATGGATTTTGTTTCACATCCTCATCTTTTAACATTGTTATATACTTTTTGATGCTATGCGAAATTCTCTAGTAGCAGCTTAGAATGAATTGTAAAGAAATGTTTAGGCTATTTCTAAATTATTTTACATCTTAATGTACCAGATTTATTTTATAGAATGTAATATTGAACTATAAAGGGAAATAATTGGAAAAAAAATCATATTTATTTCTAAAAATAGATGCCTTGCTATACAATAAGCTTTAAATTCTGAAAATATTACGCACTGACGTTTTAAGTGCTATAATAAAATGTCGTTTCTGAAACTATCTTATATACTTTTAATATTGACTTTAACGTTTGCTTTTTATTTAATATCAGATAAGCTGAATCTAAATCAAGTTTTTATTTCGTTGAATATTGAGAAACAATGTTAACGGGTTTTTTTTATTTTATCAATTTTTGCTTTAAAATGTCTGATTGTATCGAAATATTATTTAACAAAATCTGATGTTTTTATTCAACTAAATAAAGGTCTTATAAAATAAATTTCTTAGTTTCAATATTTTATTTTGAACTAATCGAATGTTGATATTTCGTTAAAAATGCGTTTAATAAAACCTGAGTTTTTTAGACCAATTTTTATTTAAGTAAATATCTCCTTCGTGGAATTCCGACATTTTCTCAGATTTAAATCGATTTTTTTCTCAATTAAATTTAAATTATAGTGTCTGCATATTTAATTTTTGTCGTAGTTAACAAATTTTGTGAATCGATTAATTTTATGACACCCTTAATCTTTAATATGACTCAATTTTAATCAACCTACTTAAAATATTTTTTATTTAACTGAAAAGAAAATAAACGACAGGTTTGTATTGATAAAATAAATAATTAATTTTCACTTTATTTATATTTAAGATTTTTTTCAGATAAGATGTTGGTTTTGTAGCTAACTTAATTAAATTTTTAGTTTCTCCGTCTATTGCTGTTTAATAGATTATTATTTTATTACGATTAACAGAATTTGTCTAATTGTTTAAAAATAAAATTATTTTGAAGCTATTTCTTTTCTAGCTTTAAGCAATATAATGTTAAGCATTGATTAAAACCATAAGTAAATTTTATTTCCGAAAACGTCATAAGAATTTGTTCTATTTTCATTCAGCCAAACTTGGCAGTTTTTCGTAATTTTTTCTCTCTTTGTAGCACGAAATTTAGTGGAATTTTTATGACAAAAATCTTACACAGTAAAATTACCAGTATATCGTGAGTCTTTTGAGTTAATCTAAAAATTATAAAAATTTGGGAAGGGTCACTCTTCTTATTTCACTCTTTAATCAAAAGGAATCAATTTTGGTAATTTTCAAAATAAATTATCATATCATGTATACTAAATACTTTTAATTGAAAAAAAGGAGACAAAATTTAATGTATGTATGAACAAAAATGCCAAACAATAATGTAGATTATTTGTAATTTTTATTTTAGATTGGGGTAATTTTTTAAGTTATACTTAAGGAAAGAAATAACTGTTTAAAATAAATTTTGATATGAAATCTACTCTCAACTAGAAAAACGGAGTGTCAAATTGTTTGGGAAATAAACTGTTGCGACTTGATAATAATAAAGTTTCCATACAAATTTTACTTTAAAAAATTAAGAATTCATCAATATTTAACAATTAGATTTAAAAAAGTTGGCCACATTTTCCGGTATATACTTTTTTCTTAAATATTTTTCCTAAAATATTCCTTTTTTTAAAAACCCATTGGAATTTCTTAGATTCATGAAATTTTCCTTTCTTAAATACCCATTAGAATTTCATAGATACAGGAAATATTTTTTTCGTAAAAATCCATTAGAATTTCATCGATACACGAAAAATTCCTTTCTTAAATACCCATTGGAATTTTATAGATACATTAAATATATTCTCTTCTTAAAAACCCATTGGATTTTCTTAAAAACCCACTGGAATTTCTTAGAAACAGAAAATATTCTTTTCTTAAAAACCCATTATAATTTCTTGGATACGCGAAATATTCCTTCCATTGGAATTTCTTAAATATTTTTAAATATTCCTTTCTTAAATACCCATTGGAGTTTCATAGATAGCTGAAATATTCCTTCTTAAAAGTCCGTTGAAATTTCTTAGATACATGAAATATCCCTTTCTTAAAAATTTACCCTAGTAAATTTTCTGGTATGTACGAATCATCTGTAAGTAAATATTATTAAAAAAATATAAAGTTAAAAATTGAATTAATTTAATATATAATAACAATTACGTGCTTTAAAATCGTACTAAATTTAAATAATATAATATTATAACTTTTATTTATTAAGAAAATAACTGCGCATAAACTATTACAATATTTGAAACTAAGAAACTAAATGCTGCCTTTTAAAATATTACCTTATCGCCAATATAAATCGAAATGTTCATCGAATCGAATCGAAGCAAAAAAGCATCATAAACTTGTTTAAAATTACGTTTTAATTATTAAAAAAAATATGTAATTTCACATTTTTTAAATGTTTATGCCCTGTTAAGCCCACTAATCAAAACAAAAATTACTACATGGTAAAAACATGCATATTTTATCACGTTTAGTGTAGGCATGTTTTATTTATAAGCTGCTTGAAAGAAAAAAGAAGGGAAAAAAAAAAGGATTGGAAACCCTGGCATCCAATATGGCGCCAGAAGGTCCATACCATATCGACCGCGCAGGGAATTCTGGGTAAGAAAACGGAAGTAATATAGCAAAGAAGAAAACTTTTACTTTGGACACATGTTCCTTGAAGTTGGCTTCAGGGCAGAACAGAAGGTTTGCTTCGACATAAGATGGATATTTTATGAGAAATATACTTTGAAGACCGTTACAACTTACCTCTACCACGGGAGAAGAAAATTTCGTTTTCTTTCTAAACGAAAATAGCCTTTCCCAATTTTATGCATTTTCTCTATTTTATGAAAATTGACACTATTCCTCTTTTATACCTTTTTCTATACTTAGCAGTGTGTTTAGAAACGCAAACAGTAAAATCAGTATACACAATTTTAAAGCTGCGTATATATCGAGTAGTCCGCTTAATTTCATGAAATTCGTGAAACGTAAAAGTTTTTAATATATATTTCAATAATTCTTGAAAAAATAAATCTTATGTTTCGATTTATCAGAGGCTACTTACTGTTTTTCATTTTAAATCGGCGTTAAAATTATTTTTCCCTATTTGTATATAAGATACGCAAAGATAGTTTGTATTCGCTAGATTATCATTTATAAAAAACTTAAATTTCCAAGACCAAATAACTAGTGTTTTTAAAAGTAAGTTACATACTTTAAATTTACTTTACACGTTTTTCTCTCAGATATTTAATTAAAATATACAATAAGTATAAATGTTTTATTCATTTTCTGAAAATAATTAAAAATATATAGTGAGATATTTGTAAAATCGTTAATTTCGTTAATTTTCATGGATTATATACTTTCTCTAAAAATTGAGGTATTCATATATTTAATTTAAACACTAATTTGAAAAGGAAAACTGAGTAACAAATAACAGCTCTGAGTCGTGGGTTCGAATCCCACTTCTGGCACCAATTGTCTTTGAACAACCAAGCCACCTGGATCCAAACTCACAGAATAACTAATAATTTAATTGAAAATGTGATTGATTGCATTTGATTGAACAGATAATTAAAAAACATTCATTTGTTAAGCCGCATTTAAAATACATCCACCAAACATTTTCAGTTTTTTCAAACAAAAGCTAGTCTTGTTCTTTTATAGAAAGGATAGTAGCATTTTGCGTTTTTGATATTGGCGATGCAGGTTATTTCGTTTCTTTCGTTATTTATCATGCGTTTTTTAAAAAAAATTTTTATACCTTGCTAAATCGTATTCTTAAACGCCCTGATGGGTTTTAGTCTTTGATCCTGATGGTGTTGTTATTAATTAACATATCCGTTGAACTCCTTTGACACCTTTTGAGTCTGTGGTCGAAACTTATTCTTGGATATTTGAAAAACCTATTTCTTAAAATTTAGTCACTGTTTAAGATATAGTTTAAGACAACGTTCTACGAACACCCTGGTATATTAGCTGTTGTTTCTAATGCCACTTGCCAATATCAGCAAGCCTGCTTGGTGAAACCAAGCGAATTTTAAGGCAGAGGGTGCGTTTCTTGTCTTTTAGTGGCACCTTCTATGGTCAAGAATACGAATTCAGCCACACNTTTTCAGTTTTTTCAAACAAAAGCTAGTCTTGTTCTTTTATAGAAAGGATAGTAGCATTTTGCGTTTTTGATATTGGCGATGCAGGTTATTTCGTTTCTTTCGTTATTTATCATGCGTTTTTTAAAAAAAATTTTTATACCTTGCTAAATCGTATTCTTAAACGCCCTGATGGGTTTTAGTCTTTGATCCTGATGGTGTTGTTATTAATTAACATATCCGTTGAACTCCTTTGACACCTTTTGAGTCTGTGGTCGAAACTTATTCTTGGATATTTAAAAAACCTATTTCTTAAAATTTAGTCACTGTTTAAGATATAGTTTCAGACAACGTTCTACGAACACCCTGTTATATTAGCTGTTGTTTCTAATGCCACTTGCCAATATCAGCAAGCCTGCTTGGTGAAACCAAGCGAATTTTAAGGCAGAGGGTGCGTTTCTTGTTTTTTAGTGGCACCATCTATGACCAAGAATACGACTTCATCCACACCACACTCCTTACAACCCATTTATAGGGTGGACCTAGTTTTGCATTCATTCATTCATTCACAGATCGTAATTTTGACTTGAACCAACCAACGATCAATCTCAAATTCAGTACCCCCAGTGGTTTGATTTCTTATAGGAACACGGAGGACTTTGTGACACGAGGGATTTA